CAAATTTAGCATCGAATTAGTATCGGTCGCTAACAAAATATCATTAAACCATCGTTATTTCATTATTTTTTCTAATAGATGCTATTCGATTACTATTTGATCCTTATTTAGCAATGGATTAATATCCATCGCTAAATCAAAATATAGTTTGTCATACTCCAAATTCTCCACTTCTTTATTTTTCTTCTTTCAGTTTTTCTTTATTTTTTTATTTCATTTATGTTATTTAGCATCTATAAAAAAACAAAAAAAAAAGTAATTAAATTAAAAAAAATCATAGGAACTTAATATATTAAAAAAAACCAAAAAAAAAAATACAAAAATATTCAAAAAATGTAAAATACAAAAAAAAAACTAAAATGGAGGGACAAACCACCTTCCATCTACTGTTACAATTGTCTCTTAGACCACCTCCAAGTTAACCCTCCCAAACAAGCTCCTCTGCCAACCACTTCTTATACTAAAACCTCTAGCCACTACAACTAGGCCTCCTACAGCAGTACAGGTCGATGTCCACAAACAACCTACCAATTCCCATCCCGAACCTTGGCCAAATCCCTGGACCAATTCTACCACAAGCCACCATTGCCCCAAAGCCCCTAGACCACTTCCGAGTCAACCCTCTCTACATTAGCCCCTGTCAATCTACCCAAAATCTCTTTTTACGAGTCCTTGCCTTAAATCTCCTGGACCTCCTTTAGGTCAAACCCTCGATAGCTCCTGCACCACCGTAACCGAGAGATAGCCCACCAACAACACCATGCTCCAACTCCTGCAGTGACCATCCTACACACCCTATTGTCAACCATACCTCCTATCAACTCTACACCACACACCATAACACCATCGATAGTGGGGAACCAACAATTCCATAGGTATAAATGATAGCAACAAAACAGAAAGGAGAGCGGGAAAAGGAGTTCTTAAAAATTGAAAGAAAAAAACAAGAGCAATTAAAGAGAATTTCGAAACTAAAAAAATTAGGGAATCAAAGAAAACAAAAACAATTCCATGGTAACATCTTCTAATCATTGATCTATCTTAATTCCTTCCTTGTGAGAGGTTAACCAAATTTTCTCTCCTCACTAAGCAACAATTTGTTTACATGGATACATAAAATCCAAAACCCAATTGATTTAATATGGAACTTAAAACAGATTATGGTTGGTGATCCAACTTAACCTCACATTAAAAAAAAACACTACCATAATAGGAGCATTAGTTAATCCATCACAATTAATTGAACTAAAAGTTAGGGGCATAATAAGGAATTGAAACTACCAAGGACTAGAGTGAAATAAGGTAGCAAACGATAAAGCAAAAATTGAGGTAAAGACCCATCGTTCGTTTTAATCTAGAATCAATCCCCTCCCATACTATTCATTATCTTCTATCGAAGATGACCAAAACCTCTAGCTGGCGTTCGTACCAACATGGAATTGTGCCTCGCACCACTCACTCGAACCCCTGCATCATCTGCACCATCACTACAATCCATAGCACTACATACATTGTGTTTTCAATTTCAAAATTCACTATGTACACAAGAAACCAAGAACACCGAAGTGTGTTCTTGGGCTTTAGCAGCGAGGGTCGGATCGTTTGCAAAGGATCTAAAGGTGTAAATCCGGTGCAAGAGGGCTATAAATTAAGACCCATTATAGTGTTTACATGGGAATTTTTAGGGTTTTTGAGGAAAAAAAATCAAATTTTCTGTGAAGAGTTTACAGGTTTAATAAGAACGATGCAGGTTGTTATTCTTTTAGGTTTTGGAAGCTTGAATCCATTGGTTCATTCCACTCCGAGTTCTAGGAAAACAATCCATTGGTATCTTGGGCCATTAAACTATCAACAGTTCTAGTCTCTTAATCTTCAATTACCTGCAAAAGGCACAACAACCACAACATACCTAAGGCCCAATTCTCTCAATTATGTTCGAGTTCTTTAGTTATGATTAGGTAATTTAAGTTCATTTGTTTATTCATCATTTTTAATATTCAATTTTAGCTTATCCATTTTCAAAAGTTTTGAAAGAGCGAAATGGCAATGATACTATCACAACCATTGGCGAGCCCTTCTTACTTAACCTCCTTGGTTAGGGAGAGGGAGTTTTAGTTTTGTAGTAGTTTAGCTAATGTTGCTTCTTATGATTGAAGTTTTTGGATAAGAGAAGAGCAAAGGGAAAAGAAGTCTCATATCTAATAGTGATTAATATTAACTCAAATCAATCATATTTTAGTAATTAGATCATTCTTCAATATACTTGTTATATTGAGGCTTACATTGGATCCAATATTCAATTAATAAGACTCCAGACAATAGGATCCGATGATTGGTTCAATATAATGCCACAATAAAATAATAATAATAATTGGCTTAGGAAATAAAACTTGGAATCATGACTTACAATTTATTTTGATAAAATAGAAATTTTTAGGAGATAAATGTTAAAATTAAATTAGATATGGTACCTTTCCTAGGCAATGGTGTCTTTGGATGATTAATATCTTCTCAAAAACATAATTAACTTTTTACCTTAGAATATCTAAACCGAGTACTCATCTTAAATTTCGATTCCATTAGTGCTAGTTAGCAATTCCGAAATCAATAATAGCTCATACCCCTAAACAAACAAAATTTTCAACTAAATAAGAAGCATAAATTTTCAAGAGTCTATTGAACGTCGGGTAGCGACAAAAACAAACATAACACTTGGCATTTCTTAATGCAAAACATTAGTATCATTTGCTTGAATTTCTTCTAGCTAGTGACCGTCCTTTAGTCTCAGGAACCAGCTTTACAATGAATAAGGTACCAATGCAGAAACATCAGCAAATATGATGAATCTTCCTGAAAAAAAAGAAAAAAAAGGGAAGAAAACAATCATTTGCAGTCATGAAACTGAAGCTGATATGAAGTATAAGAGAAAGGGAAATAGGGTGGAGGGCGTCACCTCTAGAGTTTCATTGCAATAGAAAGTTGAAGGGGTAAGAAATAACCCAACTACATAACCAATTTATTAAATTGCAAAGGCTTCCAGCTGAAGGGTTTATTGGGAATGTCTGAAATAGATCAGACCCTTATTTCATTCAGATGATCTATATATTTTGTTTTAGGCTTTTGGCATCAAATGATTTTTTCTTTTGGCATGGGAAATTTTTTATCTACCTTTAATAGTTAAGATCCACTATTTAGACCTTATGTTTTCATAATTTTTTTTAAATAAGTTCCAGTCTTTCTAACTTGATCAATTAAATATGTATATTTTTAATTTTAGCTAATTGAGTGTGATTTTACAAAATCGATCATTTTTTTAAAAAGTCAAATAAAAAATAATATAACTGTATAAAATGGGATTCACATGCAGCATTAATATACATATATATTATATTTCTATTTGATCTGGTCTATAAAAATTATTATTGTTGCAAAATTGAAATGACCGAAATTATGAATGCATATGCTTAATTGATCAATTAAAAATATGAAAAAATTTATTTAATGGATTCACGGTAACAGAAGATGCAAATAACGGGTAGCCATAAAAAAATACCTTGGATTTCCACCCTTGTAATAAATTCAACTTTAATTTTTTCGTTTTTATTTTCTAAGATTGATTTTAGCTCTTTGGAACTAAAAATAAGCTTGGTAGGCGATCGGTTGTCCTTCTGACAAAGCCATCAATGCGACTGTGAATGTTCCTTTTTTTCTTGAGTTTATATTTTTTACAAGTTGTTTGTTAATTTATTTGTTTTACAGAATTTTTGAAAAAGCAATTCTTTATAATAATAATATTTTGGAAGCGAGACAAGGAGGAGAGACGGCGGAAAAGGTCAGGAAATGGGCCATATTGAAAGGTGGATTAAGAAAGATTGTATTAATGGGCTTCTGAAAAAGTCCATATAATGGTGAGAGTTTTATTTAATGGATTCAGTATTGAGCCGTTAGCCTATAAAACTATTCTTTTATTATTATTATTATTATTTGTGTGTGCGAGGAAGCCCATAAAACAGTTCAATACTTACAAATCTTTTATTCAATTAATTCTTTCAATTAGCTCACATGAACAAACCTTGCAACGGAAAAAAAAAAGAAAAAAAAATCAACTAGAAATGGCATCATACACGATTTTTCCTATGGTTGTTCAAAATGTCGGCATTATTAAAGGTTTTATGAATGAGCTATTCTTCTTTTAGAATGGAAGAGAACCTCCTGTCATACATCGCTCAATTTTCTATAACAAAAATAGGTATCAACATTGCCTTTGAAAATGCACTTTCAGAATTCAAAGGAAGGCATCCTAAACAGGCTACTCTCTTTATAATGGATGTAAAATAGCAATGTGGTCGTGAGTTTTCTATCTGTCAAATAGTAAGTGCCCAGCTGCAGCCGATTGAAAATCTTTCACCTTTTATTCCTCGGTATCCCCCATCATTTGCCTATTTCATTTTTGGACTAACAAATGCGATTTCTTTTCTAAGCTGTTGTAAATCAATTAATCTAATGGACAGTTTCGAGTTGTACAACAGAAGTACTACTCTTTTAACACCAGAGATTGAGTGTAAAATACAATGCCGCCCTTAAACTTCCCTGCTTAGCTTAGGAGAGTACTGGAACAGATAGACCCTTGACCGTATTATTTAAGAACATGATGGCAGACCTTCTGCATTAAAGAGTTACATTTTGAATTGTCACCCCCAAAATTGTACTGTTAACCTATGCCGATATGCTTAACAAACTACACTTGGAATTCATTCCTCAGCACAAGAAAAAGGTGGCATGAATAAATTAACCATTGAAATGAGAATAAAGCAGGGCAATCTGAGTTCCTTTTCATCAAAGTAGCAAAACTTGAAAAAATTTACTTCATAACAATCTCGGCATTGTTCTCAAAGATGCAAGTTACTAAGAGTTGAACAATGGCGCCAAAAAAATTTCTTAACCCTGCACCACTACATTAAGTAAGAACACACAAAAGTATGGAAGGACTAGCAACACCTTCAAGGAAAGTCAGGAGAACTAGTTTGTGCCGCGCCATAACCTCCTCCTCCACGACCAAATCCTGGCCTTCCACCAGAGCCCTGCAAGATCATAATATAATTAGTCAAAAACAAATACATGAAAATACTGATGGTAGTTAATAAATAACGGGCATTAACATTTAGAATGACTGATGAAGTGAAATTACCCTAAATGCAGGCTGGTAATCTGCTGGAGCACCTCCCTTCTCACCACCTTCACCCCCTCGAGGGCCTCCGCGATAACCATCACGGTCACCAAATCTTGGACGGTCTCCTTCAAAGCGAGGTGGGCCACTAGAAACCCAAGCAAACACCAAGTGTCAATTAGAGAATTCTAAACAGTCAAGGAAAATAAGGAAAACACTAGAATCAGAAAATGGTCAACATAATCTAAATTACCGGGGACGGTCACCAGGTGGGCCACCAAATGGCCGACCACCAGCAGGCTTTGCTTGTTTCTTCAAGGTGGCAGGAACAATTTCTGATGGAAGATTCAGGTATGTCCTCAAAAACTCAATGCCGTCATTGGTAAGATACCAGTAGTAGTGCATCCATGCAAATGTCTCACGAACATATTCCTTGGATTTGAAGCTCTGCATGAGCTTAATAACCTGGAGATTGGGAACATCAATCTCCGGGTGCTTTGCAAGGTTGAAATCCTTCTTTGCATAGCAAACTCCCTCTGAAGATTCAAGACAAAATTAACATAAGTGAATGTGGGTATATGGTATATGATAAGACTAATCTTCCTTGGTCCCATTTGGTTCACATTAAAAAAAAAAGGTCCATTATTCAATCTAACTGATTATATCCAAATAAAATAAAATACATCAAAACAGGCAAGGCCCAACAAATGTGATTGACAAAGACACTCAGCGTAGTCTTATTTTGCATTCCAGCTATTAGAAACAAAACCAAAACAGCAAGAAACAAGGGTGCAGCTATCTCATAACCAGCACAAAAATCTCTCCGGTAAAATTTTCCTAACATCAGCAGTTACACGGTGGTTTAGGTGTACTTTAAGTCCCCTACAGGATAAATTAAACGCTTTTACTTATTTTTCCATATCATTGGCTGTATATCACTAACACAAGCTCTTGCAAAAACCTATTAACTTAACACCTAACCCCAGTGGGGAGAATCTATTCGTTATGGATGAGAATATTAGTTGCATTTGCTTTGAACTATCCAACACCAAAACAAAGAGGAAAAAATCCATTTGTTTGAAGAAAAAGAGATGTACCCTTCAAAAAACACACCAAAAAACAAAGCCAAAGATGGGCCTTGCTTTGACATTCTTTTCTATTTTTAAACAAGTAGCAAAGACCTTGTGTGAATTTATCCTGACAAAATAAATAATCATAGCAGTTGAGTGACTTCACCTTACTGTCATCATAGCTTGTCTAATCAAGTTATCAACCTATTTCATAACAACTGCATAATTAAATGCTTTTATTTCAATATCTACCAGCAAACCTCGTAGCTTGTCTAATCAAGTTGTCATCCTACTTCAAAACAATTGCATAATTAAATGCTCTTATTTCAATATTTACCAGCAAGCCCCAACTACATATCAGCTTTCCAAAATCACAACAATTGAAGAAACTAACTCAAAAATACTCTTAACCGTAGTTCTTTAAAAGCCACAACTAAAAAGCAACCATTCTAAAAAAAAAAAAAACTTAAAATAACAAAACATTGTTGGGATCTGAAGTAGGAAAATCAGATAGGAAAATATCAAAAGCAATAATAATGTTACCTTGAAAGAGGTACTTAGAGATTTCTCTTCTGTTCTTCTCTGAAATAATCTGAAGACACCATAAAAATAGGGAAAAAAAAAAGTAAAAAAACAGTAAGCAGCTAACTCACATTCTTGTGTACGTTATTACATGTTGAGAGTGAGAGAGAGGTTACCATGGTTGCAAAATGTGAGCCCCTTTCGAATTTTGCAGCAGCTGCAGAGAAGAGAGAAGAAGCTCTTCTATTGACAGACAGCAGGGGACTTCAAAACCCTAAAGAAACTATATTGTTTATATGGGTTGGTTCTGGGCTGAGTAAGCTAATAGCCCGGATTCTTTCTGAGACTGTTTTCTACGTTGGCTTGTTATGGGCTTATTTTGAAAGTCCAGTCTTAATTTATTTCTCCTTTTTAATAACAATTAATTTATTTTTCAACGGTTAGGGTATTCTCGGGAGAGTTTTCTTCATGCACCAAAAGTAAGTGTATTCCTAATTCCTAATCCACAATCGTTAATTATAGCTATATATAAAATAATAAATTTCTTTAAAAATTTATAACTGTTGATCGAATATTATAACCTTAATATGATATGTAAATTCACCAATTCTTTACTTAAAGAAAAAAATCAACTTTGAAGAAATTCTTTAAAAAATATATTATTCAACCCTAAAAATAAGTTAATGGCATTTTTTTATTATTTTCCGATTTATTAATCTCATAAAATTCTACATAATATAAAATAAATTTCGTCAATCATTCATAATCTACATAGTATCACTTTATTTTACCTATGAAAACTCTAAAAATACTTAAAAAGAAATCCAAAGAAACCAATAATATTAAAATTAGAGATTTAAAATATTATTAAAAGACACAATAAATGTAATAAATAACAAAAAAAAATTGAAAACTCAAATTATTACACAATTACATATAGAATTATTTACTTTTTTTATAGGAGAAATTTCTTAAATGAACTTCGAATCTATCGTCCGGCTAGTTGTTTAAAAAATAAGAATCATCTAACAGCTATATATTTGATATATATATATATATATATATATATATATATATAATAAGGCAAACTGTTAGATGCATTTGTTGAAGAAGCATAGAGTCATTGATTTTTGTGCTTTCATTGTAACGCCCCCGCCCCGGTTATATTTCTACTACCCAAGTAAGGTACTCGGACGAAGCGCGTTACGCCGACATACCCTAAACTTTAAGTAGTTCTCTTAAGATATTCTTAGAACTTTAACAAGTACATTACATATATAACTCTTTAAGATAAAATTTACATAACATAATTAAATACATTAATAAAACATTACACGCAATATTCAATTTATCACGAACTCGCATAGAGTCATTGATTTTTGTGCTTCCATCCGTAACGCCCTCGCCCCGGTTATATTTCTACTACCCAAGTAAGTGCATCGGACGAAGCGCATTACGCTGATATACCCTAAACTCTAAGTAGTTCTCTTAAGATATTCTTAGAACTTTAACAAGACATTACGTATATAACTCTTTAAGATAAAATTTACATAACATAATTAAATACATTAATAAAACATTACAAGCAATATTCAATTTCTCATGAACTCCATACCTCAAATTTACGGACAAAATAAAAACTAATATATGGTGCCTCACATGAGCTAGTTAGGAGGAGCCAACCACATCCGTACCAACTTGTCCTTTTTCGTCACGACATAAAAACATAACAACAAGTGAGCCGAAGCTCGGCAAGTAGAGTGATACACGTGATATGCAATGTTGTTTTAACTTCCCACCATACTCATAAATTTTAATCTCGGTTACCCTAGGTATTAGCCAATCTACTCTATTTATCATCCGGTGGTCCGCGGATCACCTTCTCGCTATAACGGAATTATCCCTCGTTGTAACTACCGTTAGCGAGAATCCATCATCTAACAAGTGCGAGCACACAACTTGGTTTCATCCAGATGATCCTCGGATCATCTTCTCGCTACAATGGAATTATCTCTCGTTGTAACTCGCTATTAGCGGGAATCCATCGTCTAATAGTGCGAGCACACAGCATAGAGTACTGGACTACTAATACCCATTTATTCTAGTTAGGTTATCAAACCTAGATGTGTAAACCATTTCTCAATCAATTGATTTGTCTTAAACCACTCACTATGTACATGATGCACGTGATGACATATTTAATCACATTCAACCAAATTCGAGTACCAACCCGTCATTCTCATGCCATACTCACGGTCCAACCCACACTCGAAATTTATCCATTGCTCACATACCAATCATGATACCCATAGCGGGAACACAATCTCCGCTCATTAATATTGTTCATTAGTTTCATTAATATTTAAAAGAAGGTCCAAGTCCATTTACTTTAATCCGAGCCCATTAACTTTATCCTAGGTCCATTGACTCTATTTGATTCCATTTTATTTAGTCCAAGCTCATTTAGTTTATTCCAAACCTATTAATTTTGTCCAAGTCTAATTTTTTTTGTTTTAGGGTTTATTACCGGAAAACTCCTAATCGAGTAAATAATTTTCTAATTTCAGAACATAATTAAATCTTACTCATTTTATTTTAGATACTAGACATATTTATTTATAATATATCCAAAAATTAGGTCTAAATACCAAGTACACAATTAATTATAAATTTTTGAAACTTAGGGAGCAATCGCCTAATAGTAGTTTGTCTAGAGCTATCCATACTAAATCGGGTATAACTCTTTGTACACGAATCCAATGATCAAGAAATTTTAAAGGAAGTTAGTTAAAACATAGATGAACAACTTTTATGCTTTAAGTTTTCACCTAGAAATCGATCTAAAATCCATGAACATACATCCCAAAATTCGGACAGAATTTACTCTTTATTAACACTAATTTATTAGTTCATTCCAAGCCAACTTTAAACATGTTTTAGTTCACTTAAATTTAGTCCAAGTTCAATCCAACCCATCACCACATACTTGGACATTTTCAAAACATCATAAACATCATAAATCATCACAACAAGGCATCCATACATAGATTTATCCTAAGCATCAAGCATATAACCATTGAAAATTATTACAACCCATGAAATAAACACTAACAAAATAACTTTAAAAAAAATAATTTAATACATTAATCAACCAAAAAAAATGAAACCTACTTACATTGCTCTAGTTTCCTTATGGTTTTTTAGGTTCTCCCTTTCTTTTTTTCCTTTCCTTTTCTTTTTCTTTCTCTCCTCACTATCACGTTTTCTCTCTTGTGTGTTACGGTTTTCTTTCTTTTTTTGCCTAAACCTTCAACCAACTTCCACTCTTTCTATATATATATACCTCACATTTCCTTTTCCTAAGTGTAGATACATGTGGCTTAAATGTATTTGGTAAGGTGTAAAGTAAATGGATATTTCATGAAGCAATGGACGGATTTGCATGGCGACTACAAGTGAGCTGGCATGGTGAGTTGTCTTAAGGCATTTAATGAAATTGCTAGGTGTCTCACCCTTTTAATTAAGCTAAATAAACCATTATAGTATCTTATTTCATATATTAATTAAGCTAATTAAGTCCCTAAATTCGTTTGGTCCCAATTACACACACACATCTCAAGTCTGTTTGGAGAAGCTATCTTTCATGACAGCCTCTTCTCCAATAGAAACGTTCCACTTATAGATACCATTAAATCCTATGATTTTTATACGATAAACGCGAAATATCAAGGTAACACATATCCAAAATTTAGGTCAAAATACCTAACAAACGACTCACAATGAATTTTTAAAGTTTAAGGATAAATCTGCCTAGCAGGATTGTATCTAGAATGATATGTACTAATATGGGTATAACGTTTTATATATAAATATAAAAATCACCAAATTTTATATAAAGATAGATAGACACATAAATGAACAATGTTTATTCTTTACGTTTTTCTCAACCATCAATCTAGCATCATCAAATAAATCCCACAAGATTCGGGTAGATTCTTCTCCCGAAATTCTAGCAGAATGCATTTCGAACAACCCTCACCATAATGGATATAACTCTTAATGTATGAGTCCAAAAATTATAAAATTTTATACATGTACATGCAACACATAGATGAACAACTTTCATTATTTAAGGTTTACCCAAAAATACTCTAAAGTGCTCAAATAATTCACATAAAACTCGGGCATAATATAGTCCTTAAAACAGTGATTTTGCATATTTGATTTCTTTAATAATTAAGCCATTAATCTTAAGCACAATAAATTTAATTTAACATAAATCACATATTTCAAGCATTAATTTCTCATGATGAAATGAGAATTATACTTACTCTTAATATACATATATATAGAATTATTCTAATACACGTCGCGTTACATATAAAGGTTTTTACGGAGGTTACACCATCCATGTTTAAAAAAAATCATTGACTTTGTATTTCCATCAAAAACACTCAAAACCACTATTTATTGATGCTTAGCCATCTGTGCTAATCTTATCTGTTTTAGAGCAGTGACAGATAGGGTTAAATGACATTGGATATGACTTAGGATGCAAATTTTTTTAATTGCTTAGTTCTCTCCAACAAAAAATATGTTTGTTAATTGCTCAGTATTTTAATCTGAACAAGTCTAATATAGTAATTCAAGCTCATCAAAGTCAATGCCGCGCTCTGTTACACCTATTACATTATTAAATCCTTGTACTTTTCTTTCTATGTTTAGAAGGTTTTCCTATTATTTTTTATCTTAATCTTATCTACGTAATGCTATATGGTCACATCATTGCATCTTTCCGTTAGTTGGTTTTACTAAAAACTTTAAAATTTGACGCGTGGTAGCATTAAATTTTTCTCTAATATATATTCTGGTCATCATATTTTACATTAAATACTATTTAGTCCCTAAATGAATTTGTTTTCGATTATATTTCTATATGTCAAATCATAAAATTGGTCCAAATTTTCCTGATAGATATATGATATTAATTATAGAAAATAAAAATTTAACAAAATCACTGTAATATCAACAATAGTAATTAAAAAATACTCACGTTTGTTTAATCAATTTAATAAAAAAATTCTTAAGACGTTCGAGAGATTGAGTTATTATTTTGAGATAAAATTAATTTTTTGATTTTTTTGGACATGTGTCAACATGTTGTGATTTTGTTATGTGAGAATGGATTGAGTGAACATGTGTATTGTATAAAGTTAAATTGACATGTTTGGTTTTGTAAGAATATTTTTTAAAATGTTGGTTTTGTACTTATTATATAAATTATTATTTTTAGATTATTAAAAGATAACATGAGAATAAAAATTTAAAATCAAAATAAAAACATGTCATATATCTAAGATAATAGGAGAATTGTGACCAAGTTTATTATTTGACATGTAAGAATTTGATTGAGAAGAAAAGATTTAGGGATTATATTATTACTTCAAAGCACTATGACCAAAAAAATTTCAATGAAGGGATTATTTTTAAGAAAAATAAATTAAAAGGAACAAAGTAAATTTTTCAAAAATTTTTAGAGACCAAAATGTATATGAACAAAAATTTTCATGCAGTCTCGTGTCAAAATTTTAACAGTGTTAGTAATGCAAACTGATGGAAGGCAGATTTAAGCGTGTAATTCTTGTGAGAATTTGAGAGAAGTTAGGGTACTTGTCCACTGTACAATGGCCACACTACAAGACTAAAATTAGGTCTAATCTTCTCTCCCAACGAAGATAACTAATTCTAAAGTTTTATAGTAAGCAAAACAATAAATAGAATGGGGAGGGCATACAAGAGAAAAGAGCAATCATTTCCTGTCATACAATTGTCTGAATTGGTTCTCGTCACTTATCATTGAATAACTAAAATTATAACTTGAGCTGATACTGCAAATTTCCATATTTGAGGCGGCAGTACTGTATGCTTCTAGATTTGAGGGGACAGGCAAGTCAGTTTCCAACATATTCACGATCTGATCCATTGTTGGCCTAGCATGTAATAGTGGATGAGCACAAATTAGAGCAATGTGCACGTATTGCTCCATCACTACTGGTGACCCCAACTCTGGCAGGTTATCTTCAACAATATCCAATCCTCTCCCTTCCTTCGCTAGCGACCACGCCCAATCTGTCAACAGAGAAACATTTCCCTCGTTATTTTCATAAGCCCTTTTACCACTCAGAATCTCGAGAAGCACAACTCCGAAGCTGTAGACATCGCTTCTTTCGGTTAACTTCCCATACAAGGCATATTCTGGGGCAACATAACCAAGAGTTCCTGCAACCCTGGTGCTAACATGTGTCATTCTCTGTGAGTTGAATCTTGCAAGGCCGAAATCTGCAACTTTAGCCTCGAAATTTTCATCCAAAAGTATATTACTAGCTTTAATATCCCTGTGGATGATTGCTGGATGCACCCCATAGTGTAAATAAGCCAACCCCCGTGCGGTTCCAAGGGCGATCTTCTGACGAATAGGCCAGCTAAGTTTTGTTTTTCCTGATTCGAAAAGATGGTTATAGAGACTTCCATTATGAATCAAATCGCACACGATGATCCTCTGGTGAGGTTCTGGGGGAATTTTTGTGGTGCAATAGCCTCTTAAAGCAACAAGATTGACATGCCTTACACTGGCTATGATTTCCACTTCATGTGCAAAAGTTGAATCACCACTAGCAGAACAGTTCTTGAACCTCTTGAACGCAACCTCAGACCCATCTGGCAACACCCCTTTGTAAACATTCCCATAACCTCCCTTTCCAATTATATTATGTCTCGAGAAATTCATTGTTGCCTTCCTAATTTCATCGATCTTGAATTTGACCAGGGTAGTACCTCTACTGTGCAATCCAAGCCCAAGATCCAAACTAAAGTCCCCAACATCCGGAGTAATCTTTTTCTTCTCGCTTTTCCTGTGTTGCGTCCAGCGAAACCAAACAGCAATAAAGCCCCCCAAGACACCAAACATGGAACCCGCAACAATGCCAGCAATTACGGCCTTGTGAAGCATATTGTTGGTGGACTTCATTGAATACTCCAGCCTGAACAAACACTTTGCAGTTCCGGGATCAGTCGGTCCAAACTGATTAACAACAGCAGCTGCATACATAAACAAATAACCTGAACAATCTGAGTCATTCTCAGGTTGAGGACCATGAAGATACAGATTCTGAAGACTCAACAATTTCTTAGTACAAGAATCACAAACACGGTCATCATCCAAAGATCGATTGCAACAAAGCCTCATCTCTTGCAACTTAGACTTAGGAAACTTGCTCTCAAACTGTGCCAGAGATGTAATATTCATACAGCCCTTTGATATCCATTCAGCTTGATAACCACAACCAGATTGGATATCAAGACCATCTGAAACCTCGCGAATTACATTCCGATATGATCTCCAACATGCCTGAAACGTATCATAAGGAGGAACAAAGTACCCGTTGGTTCGAAGATATTCTGACCGAACGAAACGAATTCCATCGGGAACGAACTGGCATTGTTTAGGCACGTCGATAAATGAACGTTTCGGGCGCGCTTTACTGACTAGTCCACGAAAGACATTGAAGTTTAATGGGCAAGAGGCTTCAACAAGGTTTCTGTTTGAGATTTCAAGACAATCGGCACTTCGAAAACAGAATTCGGAAAGGGTTAAGAGTAGGACTAATAGAAAAAACTTGAACTGAAAGAGGAACATCTCTGATTTATGGTTTCATAGGATTTGAAAACCATGATTCCACCCTCAACTTTCATGGGAATTGATAATCATAACTTTAAGATTATCTTTCTCTATATCTCAGCTTCAATGGCCCTTTTGGCAGTCATTGGTTGGGCGGAAAGAGATAGAATGAGTCTTAACTTGATTTTTACGAGAGGAGATAATGCTCACTTGCCTATGCTGATATTGATTCCTTAACAACTCCATTCTTTAGAGCCTATGTGACTTCATAGGATATTAATTTAACATTGTTTTTTAACTCATAGTTATCAGCATAGAATCTTTTAAGAATTATGAAATGAATTATTTGAATCAGTCTAGTGATTAAGCTTTCAAGAGGGACAATTTCAATTTGTTTGCTGTCATATAATCAAACAACTCACATAAGTTATAATTTTCAAGCTAGTTTTATAGGTTTTTTAGGCCCTGCTTGTGATGCTTTGGAACAACTATATGTTCCAAAAAACAAAGTTAGGTACTATAAGATCAAATAGCAAACTAACTAGAAAACTGCAGCATCTTTAATGTTGTGTCATTGGACACTGAAATTATACTTGAAATAATCCATGAATAGTAGTAGTACATGCCACCTTCTTTGGACATGACAATTTTTTGCATGGTTTCATTATACATGCCATCTTCCTATCAATTCACTCGTAAAACTTAATTTAGTAAGGCAGATGAGAAATTTTCAAAGCTCTGATGAATAACTTCAATGACTCAACTAACTAGAAACCTCTACTAGTAGCTAAAGAAGCCACTGGAGGTCCTATTCCTATAGCATATAAAACTACTAAATTCCAAAACCAAGGAACATGCATTCCAAAAATATAATTCCCACAAGGGAAATTCAACAGAAGGGAATAAATAACGAAAAAATAACAGATGGCAGTGAAGACTGAATGCCGGTCTAACAGGAAAAAAAACAAAAAAAAAATGGCCAAAGTCAAGGTACCATGAGAATGGATTTGTCTTATGGGTAATTACTCAAGTTCTAGAAATAAAATAAATTGAAACCCAAAAAAAGATTAAAAAAAAAAAGTATATGGTATGATCTGGTCAAACTCGCCAAAAAATTGATTAATTATTAAGTAACAAGGATGACTTTCTTCACACTCTAACAGTTGCTTTTGAAGGGGATTGAGCTTATTTGAAGTTGAAGCATTCATACCGGATTTTTCAAGTTCTGAAACTTTTGAATGTGAGTTTTCAGAACCTATTAGCATTCAAAAATGTTGAACTGGGATTTTATGAGATTCAAAGTAAACATATATAGTTACTTGAGCATTAACGTCCACTAAAAATAAAATAAAATAAAAATGAAGTCAATAGCAACTTGCTATAGTGGAAAATAAACTCCTCGTAGAATGCTAATCTATGAACTTGAAAAATTCGAAACTCACCTACCGCAGTATATAATTGATAGTATATGAACGTCCTTATGTATAATCATAATTATTTTTTCAAAAACCTCGAGTTTGAAACCGTAAATAAGTATAGTGAAATCTTTTTAGATAAAATAATGTGATGTATTATTGTTTATCAACGAGTGTGAAATAACTTATTTATTTTTTCGAGATATATATATATATATATATATATATACACACACACCAAAACCCACACCCCCAAAAACTTTGTTTTATTAAAATTTTACTGCATGCAAAAATTTAGGTTGCTGCCCGCTACGCGGCTTCATATGGTTGAGCCTCTGACGTTATTATCCATTGACCGACTTGAGACCTATTTTATTAATTAATTAATTTTATCTCTACTTATCTTGATACTTATTTTACATTTTTAATAGATTAGGTTGGGTAGAAGGCATATTGACATCTTCATTGCAATCTAGCTCAACTCTATTAGGAAGGGCTCAAGTGGCCCAATGGTTAGGTCTGGTGTCATTTTTTTGTAAAGAAATCACAGGCAACTTTTTTGTTTTTTTCAACGATCGCTTGCAAATTACCCGTCGTTTATTGGGCTGCCTTTGAAAAAAAGATGAATTTGGGATAGGTGCAACAACAAACCCACCAAACCCGAAATTAAGATACTCCGACCACAAACCCAAATCAGGTTGTTTATGGCATGCATCTGAACCATTATCGAAAAATTTAAAAATTAGGTTCGATAATTTTGTAATTATAAACCTGAATCTGATAATCAAAGAACTTATACGCTTGGTTGATTTAGATTGATGTTGGTTTTCAGGTTAATCTGAACTCGTTCCTGAACATATGCAATTCAAATAAAAACTTAAAAATCAAATAATTTTAAATAATAAGTTAAACTTTTATAATGTTTTGGTTAAAGGTTCAAATCCTATCACAATTGGACCTTCAGTTTTGTTTTTCACGTCATGTAATATTTATGATTAATTTATTAAAACTTGAACTCGTTGTAACTTTTTACATAACTAATGAAATAACATATTATTGTATAATCAATAGAATAATGTATCATTACCAAATGCAAAAGACCTCTTATGAATTGCTTATCAACTCTATATAACATTCATGTGATTTAAATTTTTTCACTTAGTTACCATATATCAAATATGATTGATAAAAATATGATCATGTCATCAAATATCGTCATTTATTGTTATACAATATTTATTTTTATATTAGTTTTATATTTACTACTTAGTTTAACAGCATTAAATGTGATTTAAAATAATAAGTTCATGAAATTAAATATTGTTTATGATTGTCGAGAAGTTAATATATTCTCAAAAGCTATCAATTCAAGATCTCTTTTGTATTTAGTAACTACATAATTCATTCCATAATACTGAAGTAATTTAATAAAATAAGTTATCCTTACTAAGTTATTACAAATTTGTGTAATCAAATACACTCATTCTCCCTCAAAAGTCAAAATTAATCCAAACGATTTATACACTAATTATTGATTTATTTGTATAATGTAAAGCTGAAATTCATCAAATCCACTGAAAGGTTAACCAAAATGAACTTGTTGTCTTTTGTATATGATAAATTGATCACATTAACGAATCAGACCGGACTTATTTGATATCCAATGCTACCATTAGAACCTTTAAAAAAATTAATTACTTGACATTCTAATAAAACTAGAACCTAAATTTGTAAGCAGTTATATTCGTGAAATCACCAATTACTAACAATAAAAATTTTCTTCTGATGTGAAAAATTATCTGTCATCTAGAGATTTTATATTTGTTTTATATTTTAAATGTAACTAGTAGTTATTAATTAATATGATATTAACTACAATTGGAATTAATATAAAAATATTATTTATTTCTAACATTAGTATTGAGTATTGAGAAATTTTCAAATGAAATGAAAGAAGAAAAAAGGGAACATATATTTTTATATATAATAATATACATAAAAGGTTATAGATTTACTTCGATTAATTTAATATAAATTCGATTCAGTTCTATTTGATTAATCTAAATTTGTAAATCAAGAATTTATTTATAAATTTATAGATTTGGTTCAAAAGAAACCTAAACTCAGATTAAGGTAACCTAATTTTTACATGGAATTCGAACGATCCCATATCTATCCACTCAAGTAAACTTATTAGGCTCTTTCCAAGTCCTTATTTGCTAATGCATCGAATTGGTCATGAATGTTGATGGGTTGTCAGGTAGCCGGTCTACATTCAGCCCATAGACTAAGCATTAATGAACTAGTTAAAAAGCAGCCCGAAGGGACCGCACCATTTCTGACTCTGATTTTACAAGACAAAGCAACTAATGGATGTCCTCCCTTTTCATTGCCATTCGAAGTTTTTACGGCAAGGGGTCATCAACTTGTTTTTTTTTTATTTTTCCTTTCCCCAACTCATTAATATCATCCGATGTGTACAAGTTACCTTGCCTTTAACTCAATGTTAATCGATCAAATTAACCTTCTTTTGAAATTACCGTGCAACTTATTGATAAATTAACTTTGAGTTCGTTCTTGATATGGTCTCCGATCAACTATTGCATGGAGTTTATTAAAAAAGAAAAAAAAAACCATTGAATTTGAAATCTCGTAAAATAGCTATGGAATAGAGAACTACCCTTTTGAAAGGTGTCGCGATAACTCAATTTACATTATTCCGATTTACTATTTTGGAGACCTATGAAATGAAATTTTAATTAAGTATATTCACAAGAATAATTGAATTCTAGTTTTCCAATTTAAAGTAAAGCTCCACAAAATGGTATTTCTGCTCTCTCTCTCTTTTTTTTCGAAAAAAAAATCTGTTTTTGGCATCGAGGGTTAATGGAAAAGTGTTAATTTGGTAATGTTTTGAAAATTGTTTTCAAAATCATTTACAAACTAAAAGTCCTAAGTTATGAAATGAAGTTGATGGTCTTTTTAAATGTCATCACAACGAAAACCACACTGTACCAATAAACACTTGGTATCTTTAGAAAAATATTTTTTGGTTAATGTATTATTATCTCATTATATAATAAGGTCATTCTCAATTTTTTTTTTATATATATATCTCTAATTCAATCAATTTTATTCTTGAATATTCATTAAGTTTTTAATCTATTTTTTGATAAAATTTTTAAATAAATCACTGAAAGTAGTAGCATGCGGCTTTTATTTCCACAATACATAACTCATTTCAGTAGTTTAATTTAAATTTGTTATTAAAATGACAGATTAGAAATTTAAAAATATATATTTTTTCTGTTGCTCCTGCTAAATTTTTTTCTTGAATATGTGAAGCAGCCTTGGTGAGTCATCTGCTCTCTTCAGTGTAACATTAACATTGAAGCAAGTAAGATTTATGTATGGGGTACGTAATTCATCTGGCTTGATCTGCTTGATCACCGCTAATAATGATGACGATTAAATATAGGGGCCATCGCTGAAAAAGATTGGGCTTGGAAATTTTGTTGGACATCAGTTGATCGAAATTAAGTCAAGGAAATTAAATTTTGATTAACTAATTCATTGAATTTTATTGAACATAATGGATAGATGGTGACAGGGGCCAAGACATGAATTTTTTTCCCCCAGCAGAATCAATTAATAACCGTAATATTTTGAAAATCGTATTTAAATAATCACATTAAATCACTGTGATTATGATGGACTTTAATTGGAAATGTACTTGTAGTTAAGTATTGGTTTAATAAGTGAAGAAATTCCTGTAATTTCAAAGTTTTCGAGTAAATATAAATTAGTCCTTCTGTTTTTGAAAAAAGATTTAAGTAGTCTCTTTTGTTTCAAAGTAATTATTTAGTTTTTTAACCAGATTACTATTTAAATTAACACTAATTTATTTCAAAACAGGTTCAGTCAATATTTTAATTTTTTTTCTGTTTCTATTGTTTAAAACAAAAAAAAAATCAAAATAAATTGAAAATAATAAAAAAATCGAGTTATAAGAAAATTTTAAAATGATATATTTATCCTAAAATATTTATTTTTTTATTCTCAAAATATCTTAAAACTTAAAAATGCAAATTAATTTGTTATTATTATGTTGGATATACAAAATAGATACAATTAATCAAAAAAATTATATATACAAAAACTCAAACTCAATTCTATTTATTTAAGTAATTAAAACCTATTTCGCTCAAATTAACATTATTAATTAAGTAATTTTTATCAAATAAGTTGACGAAATCTTAGAACAAAGTCGCTTGCATTAGTTACGGCTTTAAAAGTGGAAAGTTTCAACTACATGAATAGACCAGACGGTGGACGACGATGGTGATGTGGGTTTCTTGATACGTGACTGCATGAGCCATATATGATTGTGACTTAAAACTATGTAAGAGCATCAACCGGCACGGTCTGGGCCATCTCTGACTCTGATTTAACTTAACATTTACATACCCAACTAACAAATATCAATGGAGCTCTTTAGCTCCTACTTCCATTGCATGGATTCATACATGACTGCAAGAAGTACTGCAAAATGAATCATTTGCATTTTCAGTGATATCTCTCTGTCCCTTGCATTTGCTTTGCGCAGGGCAATGACCTCCTTATCATTCTGTCATTTCTTTTTTCTTCTGTTTTTGTTTGTTTTTTTTAATAAGCTGACGTAGATTGTTATTAAGAGTAATTTATAAATTAGTCCCTCTAGTTTTTTCAAAGTGAATTAACGTTTTTTTCTGAAAATCTCCAACGAAAAATACACGCTGTTAAAAAAAAAAGAAAAACAATAAGTAAGAAAAAAATAAAGAAAGATCGATGAGAAAATATGAATTTTTTTTTGAAATAAAGTATTATTAAATCAATCACGATCAACACTGATGACAGGACTAATTAATTAATTTTTTTCATTTTGCAAAATAAAAAAAAAGCTATTTATAATTTACTCTTGTTATTAATAATAAAAGCAAGAGAATCCCACAATTACAAGAAAACACTTACACTGCAGGATATTGAAGGCAAAGTAGAAAGAAATAGCAAATTTTGATAGAGATAATTACACTACAAATACATCAACTTTCAACATTTTTTCAATAAAATATATGAATTTTAATTTTTTTTATTTAAGGACATTAATTTTTTAAAAATTATCAATTAAGTACTTTCATTATTATTTTTTATTAACCGATAATGTATTTGTTACCCTTATAATACCAAATTATAATTTTATCCATTTTTCTCAATCAAGTACATAAATTTTAATTTCTTCGATTTGAGTACATCAGCTTTTTTAAAACTATTTAGTCAAGTACTTTCATCAATTTTTTTATTAACTAATGATGTATTTGAATATCAAATTATAATTTTACCTTCTTTGTGTTGAAAGGAATTTTCTCTCAAATTATTTAACTATTTCAAAGTTTGACAAAAAAAAATTCAAATATTATTGTTTAGCTACAAAACCTCAAATTAAACTCAATTAAGTTGCTCTTAAAAAAAAAAAAATTCAGTTAGGTTTAGAAGTGAAGCTTGAAGGAAAATACAAATGAATTTTTGATAAAAAAAAAAATCTCTCACTTGTGCTTCCTTCGGCTTTCACGCTTGAAACTTAACCGAGTTTTTTTAAACAACAAACCTAACAAAGCTTAGTTGCTAAAAAATATATATATTTTAATCATTTGTTGAATTTTAAAATTTTAGAATAATTTAGGGAGAACGTTCCTTACAATAATAGAGAGAAAAAATATTTTAGTTTTCGAACACGTTATTAATTAATGAAAAAATTGACTAAAATACTTGATTGATAATTTTAAAAAAAATTAGTGTATTCAAACAAAAAAAATATACAATTTATATACTCAATTGAAAAAAAAAATTGGTGCAATCGTAATGTAATTACTTCAATTTTGATATAGGCACCTACATCATTGTGCCATTTCTTGATTTCTTTCTTTTCATTCTACAAGCAAAATTTGCTTAAGAACTAATTAATCAATTATTACTTCACACATTTCCTTTTGCCAAAAAATTAATTAATCTGCCTTTGGCCATTGATATACAACAATACAAGCTAATATTATTTTTTCTCAATTTTTATCTTGGTAAGCTTGGTTGTAGTATAATATAATTCCCATGCCAAGTTGTTTGAGGATATTTGGGAAGTAAATGATTAATTATAAGAAAAACGACATTCAGATTATTGAATACCGGGCAAGGCACGAAATTAAATAATCACTCTATACATAATAAATTCCTCGATTCTGCCGTATTCTAGCTCAATTTGCTTCGTGTTGTACTCTTGCTGTTTCCCAAGAGACAAAACAACATTCTTCGTATGCTTTTCTCTTTCAAATATTTGTCAACTACTATATGCTTTGTTCATCACATTTTAGTGTCTTCTTTTAATCTGTTGCACGTTTGGTTCCCTTTTAATAAGTTCTGTAGAATTCTTTTTTTTTTTTAATTATAGATATATTTTTTAATTAATTTATATGTTAATTGAGATTAATTATGACAGTTTTCTTCATATTGATGTTATTAATTATAGAAACATTTAGATTTATAGTTTTTTTTTAGATTTTTTTTAATTAAGGAAAAAACTATGTAGTAGTCTATAAAATTTAAAATATAAGTGAGGCTTCATTACGATATATGCTAAAAAAGTTTATCAATGTGATTTACTCATCTATAACAATTGAGCAATAAGGATAAATACCAAAAATACGCAAGCAAATATAAAAGAAAAATCAAATTTGTAAATTTCACAACACAGTATCGAACAAAATAAAATCTACTTTATGTTAACTAACTTAATTAGGAATTAGAATGGAATTTCACTCTTATTGCAGATGAAATGGATTAAGAGACACGAAGATTGCTCTTGTTAGTTGTAGTTAAAGATGAATTTTTTTTTTTTAATTTAGGAATCATGGACATTTTTTGATTAACATACAAAGCAACCTAAATTAATTCCATTTTGTTGGTGATATTAAGGAGCTTACTCCTCACACAGTCTGTATATTTATTTGTGCGATAGTTTTAAAATTAAAAAAGTAAATTATAAATTAATTCCTTTAATTTTACAAAATAAATTAAATAGTATTTATTTTTTAAAAACTAATTAATTAATTATTTTATCAACGTTGATTATGATTAATTTAATATTATTTTGTTTCATAAAATATCTTCTCTTTTTCATCCATATTTTTGTTTTTTCACAAATTTTTTCCTATTTATATTTATTAAAATAAAAATAACATATTTAAAATATAGGACAAATTAATTAGTTATTAAAACTAGAAAAACTATATAATTTATTTTTTAAAAATATAAGGACTAATTTATACTTCACTCAAAATTCACGCTCCAGAAGTTTTGTTGGCTGTTGATAAACTACGGACCAACTCTTTAGAATTGTATAGTTGAAAATTATCAAGTTAAAAAACAATCCTATTAATCAAAAAAAGATTTTTTTTTAAAATCAACTTTTAAAAACATTAAAGTTCAAAATTAAATATATAGAATCCGCTATTTGGAATAAAATTAATATCATGATTCCAATAAAATCAAAATGTGGGTGGGTCCTAACATGAAAGAAGATGGCCAAATGGACCAAATATTGAATATTGCAATTTAGCTGACCAACGAACACTCTGTGTGTGTGTGTCTCTCTCCCTCCCTCTCTCGCTTCTCTCTGTGTCTGCGTCTGTGTCTGTGGGGTTTAAGGCTGAGAGCAGAAGTCGCTGAAGAGCTTTCAACATTTGTCAGCAATGCAGTAGACCAAACAAGCGACTCTTATGCGACCGAGAGACCCATGTAAGAAAGAGAGAGACTTTTTTCCTTTTTTTTTTCTTTTTTTTTTTTTTGAAACCCGAACAAATGGAAGTAATGAGACTTTGCCATATATAGCTCTTTATAGATTCTCTTTACGGGGCCTGGATAAATTTTAGTCAGCTATCAAAAGTACTAAACAACAGGAAGGTTTTAATGTTATAGTAACCACTGCTTTCTTTTGTTTTCTTTTTGGTCACATTGTCATCTTTTCTGTTGTGTGTGTGAGAGAGAAAGAGAGAGTGGTGTGGTGTGTGTTTGTTGGTTGGTCATGGCAGCTGTTGGAGGACATCATAAAGGAGCTCATAGTAGTACTATTCCTTCGTATGGATGTGTTCCTCTCCATGCTCTCTCATTAGGGTATGCTTTTCTTTCTTCTCCTCCTCCTCCTCCTCCTCCTTCTTCTTCTTTTAAATTAATTTTTTGTCCTGTAAATGATGATCTTTTCTGTTTGTTGATTTTTTTTTTTTTTACATGTATGGAACTGTGCGATTTTTTTTAAAGAAGTTTTTTTTTCCCCATATATGGAGAATTGCTAATTTGTTAAATTTTGTGTTCTCCTACTCGGCTGTGTGTGAATGTGTTTTAAAGCTTTGTTCTTTTATGGAGGCTCTTAAGGATTTTGTGTCTCTTGAGGTGCAGATTGATTTTTTGGCATCTGCTAATTTGTGCCTGATGTTTGTCAATTGGTACAAGATTTGGCTAATAGGTTTTCCAGAGAATATTTGAAGCTATTGATGTGGTTCTGCATATAAAGTACTTGTAATTATGGATGTTACTCTGTCTGGTGTTTGTTCTTCCCTTTAAATTTCCTCGGTTCAATTGTTTGTAGTCATTTTTATTCAAAAGCAGAATCTTTCGCTAGTACTTATCCGAATCCATTCATGTTATTGTCTTTTGTATCCTGTGGAACATATGATTGTATTGTACATTTTTTCTTCCATATTGTGAAAAAATTAATCTTTTTTCGTGAAATCTCTCTCTATCTAGTTAATTCATCTCGTTCAAGTTGAAATTCGTTCTCTCTCTCTCTCACCCATCTCACTCACTCAATCAACCGGACACCGATTCACACTCGCACACTCCCAATGCCATAGTCCATTGCCTTTCTTCTATTCTGATGATAATAGGGTAAACATGGCAGCAAGCTCGTCTTTATTAGCAATGTTTTATTTTCACTCAGGGAGGATCATAAAGAGTATTGCTTGCTAGCAGAGAGAAATCTGCGCGCAAAAGTTTCAGTGAGACCTAAGAAACACAGCCCAGTGCTTTCTTCCTCTGCTTCTTCTGTTGGTATTTACTTCACTTCTTTTTTTATGATCCTCTGTATCTTATAGTCTGTGCATGTGCCTGTATGGTCATCCATGAGATTAGTTCCTTACTTCCTTGTAGAATTGAGAGCTTCAGACATGGAAAGAGAGAGAAAAGATGGATCCTCTCCTAGAGGAGTTATAGAAGCTTGCTTAACAGGCTTGGAGTCCAACTCAGATTCTACTAAAAACAGCACTGACGAATCAGAAGTTCCTCGTTCAAGGCCACTTTCCAACTGGAGTAAATTCTTCAAGTCATGGAAAAGATTTTCGCTAAAACGCTTACCCTCATTTATTCCTCCCCCAGTGCCCAAGGCACCAAGACATAAGAGCAGGAGTACAAGAGAAAACACAGCTTTGAGAAATTTATACAACTTCAAGTCGAAATTGCAGCATTTCACTTTTGCTGAGCTCAAAATTGCAACAAATAATTTTAGCCACGGTCTGTACTTTGTCACTTAATGAGACCTATGATTCAAAATGTTGGCTTACTTGTAGATGTTTATAACATAAAATTTTTATGTGTGTTGGGTTCTGTGATGAACATTTATGTTTTTCTTGCAGAGAACTTAATTGGAAAAGGAGGCTTTGCTGAGGTTTACAAGGGTTGTTTGCCAGATGGAAAATTAGTAGCCATAAAGCGGCTTACAAAAGGAACTCTTGACGAGAAGACTGCTGGCTTTCTAAATGAGCTTGGCATTATAGCCCATGTTGACCATCCGAATACTGCTAAGCTGCTTGGGTGTGGCATTGATGAGGGGATGCACCTTGTTTTTGAATTGTCTCCATTAGGGAGTTTAGGATCTGCTCTTCATGGTTTGATGCTAATTTGTATTGTTTTCTAGTCAAATTGCAATTTGTTGTCTTCAAGTTGCTTAGTTGTTCGTTAATTGCATTTCCAGGTTCACAAGTCAAGCTTGATTGGAGTAAAAGGTACAAAATTGCTCTGGGGGCAGCAGATGGACTGCTGTATCTTCATGAGAATTGCCGAAGGCGAATCATCCATAGAGATATAAAGGCTGATAATATTCTTCTTACAGAAGATTTTGAGCCTCAGGTATCCCTCAAGTTATACCTGAGAACATCAAATGTTAAAAACTTCAGTTATTGCTGAGATCTTTTTTTTTTTTTTTTGGTTCCTTTCTATTTTTTGTTTTGAGATAAGCTTTTCCTAACATGAAGAGAAGGGTTTCTAATCATTTTGACCTCCAACTCCTTTGACTGTAAATATGTGAAGCTTATGCTCTTCCTACTCCAAATATAGCCATTGAATAAATCTGTAACTACGTCTATTTCTAGCAAACTATAGAAGTACATTTGCAGTTTGCGATCAAGAGCATTGCTTTCTACATAGCTCCTGTAGGAAGCACTCTTACTATGTCATGTTTTTATTTTACTTCTGATTGTTTTTTTAGCATGTCTCATGATGAACTTTGCTTGGATAAATCTCTCTGTCCTCGTCTTCGGCATTTTTGCATGAAGTGGCTGCTTTCAATGCCATTACCAAAATAATGTAATTCACCTAAAATGAAGCACTATAAAATTGGTAAAAGTTTAAATTGGATTCCTTATGAATGGAATTGCCAAACTAATTGCCTGTGTGCTCAACAATAATAGAATGCCAACATAATTGATTTTCTATATTTTGGAAAAAAGAGTGGACTGGTGATGTTTGAGCTTCAATTCAATTCTGGCTGAAGTGTCCAAAATCCCAAAACATAACTTGAGTCGGGATATTGTAGAAAGAAAGGAAGCCATGCAACTACAACCTTGGAGCTTCAAGTATCACACTGCTCTTTCGTATGTTGCCATTTCTTATGTTGCCATACACATTTGTGAGTGAATTCATGACTGCATGTGACAATTATAATTATGGCATTAGGCTCCGTGTTCTTGTGTTATGCATGAATTACCATATCAAACTGACACATCATAGCTTAACAGCATCAAACTACCAAGGAGTTGTGAAAAATACCTGCATTCTCTTAGATTTAGGTGAATGGGTCTGCGAAGAGAGTTTGAGATCATCGATAATGGAAGTGGGAGCATAAATGTGTTTAATTAGGAAAGTATACATGTCTTTTACGTGCATGTTTCTGTCTTGCTTGGTGGTCAATTATTGAATTTAATGAAGAATTCAATTGAATCTATTGATTTTGCACCCAACACCACTCTGCCTTCTGCTTGATTAGGATGATTTAATGGCCCAAGCTTGGGCCAGATTAAGGGTCTTTTGAAGCAATTTAGTTTTGTTTGGGCAGAGGTTGGTTCTCTTCCCTTAGGATCATTGTCGGTCTGTCAATTAGAGCAAGGATTTCCTCGTAAATTTGAGTTAGTAGCCTTTGCCATAAGACGCACCTTCATTCACTCTGTTCATTTAATTATGGAATGACCTTCATCTTGCCATCGATCCAAGAATTTCTCATCCCGCAACATTCAGATAGGCATCAAGACCATCAACCAAAATGAAAGTAGTTTACATTAACAAACAAACTGCTAATTGTTTCTCTAATTCTGTAGTATATCAGAGAACTCTATGCACAATTAGCATCTCACTGAAGTCTTAGATTTATAAGGAGCATATATAGTAATGCCAACCATAGACTCGTGATCTAAATAGTAAAAACTATAAGACTTATCTTGCGGCAGGGGTATTAAGATGCAAGAACTCTAATAGTTAGTGTGTGGTGAACCATTTAAAAACAATATGACTAACAGTGATTTGAAAGTTCAAGGGTCCTGCATTCAGTGCTACATGAACATTCAAAGTTACTACAGAAAACATTCTATTATCAAGCCATTGATTTTTGGACCCTAGATAGATCTGCCGTAAATGGAAAATGTGGGTGACTAAGGCACTTATGGCCGGCATATTCTGCTTCAGTAGAATTCGTCACTAACTAGCTTTTCTTCGGTAAATGAGGTTCACGCCTTTAAGTAATGCTCCTTGTAAAGCATTTTGTATTTGGGGCACTAGTACTTGAGACTCATGACCATATAACGACAGACAATTTAATGGCTGAAGCAAATAATGATTTATCATGTTAGCTTTGTGCTTGCATGTGTTTTAGCTCGTGCTTAAGTTGTATGAATATTCTCTTTTCTAAATAGTCGTTGGTGATTTAACCTTTGATATATTTCTTATTAATACCTCACTGCCTGCTTCAAGTGCTATTTAAAGAAAAAGAGTGAAGGTTTTCCCATAACTGAGAACTAATTTTATTGTTCCATTTTTCTTTTTCAGATTATCATACAAATATCGATATATTCCTTATTAATACCTCACTGCCTGCTTGAAGTGCTATTTAAAGAAAAAGAGTGAAGGGTTTTCCATAACTGAGAACTAATTTTATTGTTCCATTTTCCTTTTTCAGATTATCATACAATTATCAATTTTCAATTTTGAACTGTATTGTGCATATTTTATTAAACTTTTACTGCTCTTTCTGCTCCGGTTTCTTTTTATGCCGTCAGATTTGCTCCAATTGTCTGTCCATATGTTCTAATACAGACAATATATTTGCTCCAGGTATTGGAATTTTATGACATTTGTATGCATGGATTTAAATGCTACTTGTCGTGCTGTCTTTTATGACTGTCAACCGGTATCATGACGTCTATATAGTTGTTTGGTTATTTAAATCTTTTGCTTATTGATTCACAATCCAATGTTGATTCAGATTTGCGATTTCGGACTAGCAAAGTGGCTACCGACACAGTGGACTCATCATAATGTATCCAAATTTGAAGGCACATTTGGGTATGTAAGAGTAAATTCTTTTGGTCTGGAGTTGATAAAAGTTCCCATGACTTCTTGTTACTTTTCCTTCTCACTTGCAGCTACTTTGCACCGGAATACTATATGCATGGCATAGTCGATGAGAAAACCGATATATATGCATTTGGGGTACTACTTTTGGAGCTCATAACAGGACGTCGGCCTGTGGATCATTTACAACAAAGCCTTGTGGTTTGGGTAATTTTACTTCTGAACAATTCGGTCTGCTCATCAGAAAGCCTATGTATGCATGGCATAGTCATCAGCTACCCATTTTGATCTTCTTGTAGGCAAAGCCTTTTCTGGATAACAATGATACTAAGGAGCTTGCTGACCCTTTTCTTGGTGACAATTATGATCTAGAAGAGATGGATCGTGTGGTTTTGACTGCCTCTTTGTGCATTGAGCAGTCTCCAGTCCTACGCCCTCGAATGAGTCAGGCAAGTGTAGAAATTGCATGTCACTAGTAATACTTTATTTCATGTAGTCCTATACAGTCACATTCACCGGAAACCACAGGTTGACCATTCCATTTGTAGAAACAAACTGCTTGGAGTGGCTCCTTATCGTTTAGTGATGCACTGTAAATGGGGAATCCCAGAAAGGAAAAGGCCTATCAGGAGATGACATGGTTTATTTTATATTAAGACATGGTTATAAGGTTCACATCTTTCATTTCGTCGGAATAGCAACAGAAGTTTTGCTATCTGAATCTAGCCCATACCCTAGGAAAAGACTTATATGAATGTTTATGATGTTGCCGTGTTGGGTTATGCTGAAAGGGGAGAGTGATCAAGCCATTAAATGGAAATGGCTATTTGTTTGATTCAGGAAGACTAATTATAGTGTTCTCTTCATTTTCACTGACCGGACACTACTGGCCTGTCTTTCATTGATATAGTTAAGCAAACTTGCCATTTATGTGTTTGGAGTGCCTGACATGCCTTTCATTCTATACTTTCTTATGAAATCATGTAATAGAATTGCTTAACAGCCACTAAACCAACTTCCTATTTGATTTATCTCTGCTCAATAATTGGTTGAAGAATAGAAAATTCCTTCAGAGAGTGATGTATAAAAGCAGGAGCTTTTTCGCTAGTTCATTTATTTCTCTGATGATGTGTTTGTTTTTAATGGATAGTCATTTGCCACAAGTTTTTTTTAATTTTACCCTTGAATTCTCACTTTGTTAGAGATGCTCATTGTACCTAGAGGACTTTGGATGGCAAGCTAACAGATGCTTTTGCAGGTTGTGATACTACTAAGAGGTGATGAATATGTCGCAGAGTGTGCCAAAAAAGGTAAAGGGCGTTCTCTCCTAAGAACTTATTCAGAAGAGATCTTCGATGCTCAAGATTACAACTCAACTAAGTATCTCAACAATCTCAAACGACACAAGGAGCTTGCTTTGGGTTCTTGAAAGCAAACGAATACCATATTTAAGAAGAAACAACAATAAGAGTAAAACTTCATATAGAAAACAACCGTAGGTGTAATAGTAGGTTTTACAGTTCTGAAGGGTGTTTAAACATAGCCTGCAGTGGAGATAAATCATTTGCTATCCGTTTTCCATGGAATTTGAACGCCTCTGGCCATCTTTGGGTAGAAATTTCCAAATTCCATGCAAAACACCATGAAATGAGATTGTTTCCAGTAGTTTTTAAACATCCTTTTGTTTTTTCCATTTCCATGTACATATAAGGTTGTTCTCTTTCAGACTAGAGGCCTTCCATGAAAGATAATTTTACTTTTTGTAGAATAAAATTGTAGAAAGCATTTTCAGCTATATATACCATTGTCTTTTCTGAGGCTTCTTTTCAGGTCATGAGACTTCATTGCAACGCCTACAAGTTGAGACTTGAAATGGCAAGTTGCCATTTTGACCCTACATGAATGTGCCAAACCTGACATCAAGGTAAATGCCTGCATCGAAATGTCATTTTCAACTTCTCCCTAAAGCAAAATATTGCTGAGTCGCACAAGGAGTTTGAAACATATATGACAGGTGTTTACTGTGGAAAACATAACAGGAAGGAAATGGTAGAAAAATATGGAGCAACCTGCAAACATAATATTCAGGGCCTAAATCTGAGAAGAAGCATAGTCGGGTTACACAGGCGTAGTACAAAATCTGGTTTTGGATGGTTGCTGGGAATCTTATGGGTCAAGCTTATTCATGATACTATATTTCTTGCTCAAAATAAAAACCCAACACAAACCAGTCATACTCATATCCTAACGTTGGGATGGTTGGGATCCAATACCTTAGTGTGGGGATGGTTTGCCTTTGATCCAATCAGAAACATGATTTTAATCTCGGATTCCCAAAAAAAAACAGAAAAGCCTTTAATCCAATCAGACACATGAATTTAATCTCGGATTCCCCAAAAAAAAAAAAAGAAAGAAAAAGAAAAAAGAGGAGGAGGATTAACTCTCGATGGGTAAATTATAAATTAATTCCTCTAGTCCTAAGAAACAAATTAATTAGTTTTTCTTGTTTTAAAAAATTATTATTTAGTTTTTTTATCTGATATGTTTAATTTAATATTATTTTTATTTCATAAAATATATTTTTTTTTTTTTTATTTTTTAAAATAAAAATAAATTAAATTAAAAATAGAAAAAATAACTAAATTACAAATAGATTAAAAATATAAAAAAGGACAAAAATCGATTAATTTATTTATAAAAAAAAAAAGCGATTGAATTTTTCTTTTATGGTAATTTCACAATTCAAACATAAAAAATGTTTTAACGTTTCAATAAGCGTTCACCGTAATTTCACAATCCCAACATGAAAAATGTTTTAACATTTCAACGAGCCATATCTATATCTCGAGAGTTAAGCCGACAAAGATGACTACTGTGACATCAAAAGTCATAGTCTCTAAAATCAACTTGTATAATCCAATCTAGTTTAAAAAAATAAAAATTTAATTTCAATTAACATAAAAATACTTTACTACACGTAATATAAAAATTAAAAATATGCGACGACAAGAAGTTACTGCTTCGTGATTGCCAAGACTTTGTTGTATAAATCAAACCCATAAATCTTTTTTTCCAACGTCCAATAATAAAACATAAAAGTGAAAACCACCACCATAATTTACACAGGAATTTATCCTTTTATTTTATCTTATTTTATTTTTATTTATTTCTTGGCATGCCTTTTCTTTTGAATATAGCTATCCAAAAAAATTCAGTGAATATTCCATGATCAGTGAATGCATGCACCAAAACTCTAAATAAGCTCATCCCATTATCTATTAAATTGTCAACAAAAAAAAAAAATCAAACCCAACTAAATTGTATATATAAAGTTCCCACTTATATTAATTTGAAATAAAAGCTTTAATTAAAATTCTCGAAAATTGAAATGTGAACAATGAAACTTTCAGTTTTGGAAAAGTATATTTAACAGCAATATGCTGCACTTTTGCATGCATATAGGTGACAAAAAAAGATAAAGGAAATAGTATGAAACTTTCCTTTTTGAAACAGAATATTCCTTCACATTTGCCTTCAGCAATATATATCACTTGATCAAACACACTAAATAGTTGGCAAAAAAGAAACAAACCACTACTAAAAAAAAATTTACTTCGTGAAATTTTTTTTAATTACTTAAATAAATAGTTTCGTATTCGAATTTTTGTATATATAAAAAACTCATTTGATAAGATTTTATATCTCTAACCAAATAACGAAGGATTAGTCTGAATTTTTTAAATCGAAATAGTTTAAAGATATATATATATATATAAATCATTGGTCAATTCCACTTTATGGTACTCCATTTGAAGGTTTTTTTTTTCCTCTCATTTCTCGAAAGAGCAAAAGCGAAAGAAAGATATAATTTTACCCTTTTTTTTTTTTTTCCATTTTCCCACAGTTTCCCCCCTCCCTTTTAATCACGTAAAAAGACAAGGTAAAAAAGATAAGATTAGCATCTATCTATAGCCAATCCGAATCTCGTTTCATGTCTAATTCAAGCAATTAAATCCTTTAATGGAATTCCACAGAAATCGCTCAATTTTCCCTTCCCAGATTCAATGACACCATCTAACAACAGCAAGGCAATCATTGAATTAGACCCTAATCTATTTTATAATATAACCTATATAATATAATAAAATACACACTTGTAAGATAAGATAGTGGCTTGAGAAAGTGGACAGACAGCCACATTTCCCTTTGGTAGTATTTCTTTTTTATTAATTATTTTTTTTAAATTAATCTTGTTTGTTTGCAAAAATCACGGTGGAGAAAATCCGAATTTCATTTAAACATAATCTAATTTACACCACTGTAAAATCGGAAAAAATCTCTCTGTTTTTTTTAAAGAAAAATAGTAATTTTCCTTTTTTTTTTTCTTTTTTAATTTACTGCTTGTTGTTCCGCATCTTTGTTTTAAGATACTCTTTCATGCTCTTGTCGTAACGTAATCAAATGTCTTCTGCATCTCTTATGTCTTACGTCTTTTATATATTATAAATTTAATTTCGATTGAGGTGTAAATTAATATAAAAAAATATGTTATTATTGAATAAAAAATCAAAATATATAATTAAGTTTACAAATTGATTAACGATTTTTTAGTTCCAATGAGAAATAAAAAAAATCAAATGGTCATTTAAGTGAACTCCAAGGACACCATTCAAATCCCCCAAATCTTACTTTTCCACTTGAAATTAACTCTCACGCTTTCGAAAAACCTAAAAAATAAAAAAACGAAACCCCACGCGCGCTATCAGATGGAGAGTTAGCAAAACGCGCGCACGCATTTCCATTTCCATGAACAGCAAGTAAACACAGAATCGAAAAAAAGCCGAAGCAAAGTACTGAAAAAAACCGTCTCTCTTCCCCTCAAGTCAAAACTCCAAAAAAGAAATATCCACCAAACCAAACACAGCACATCTCTCTTAATTTCTCAGCACCGGCAAAATCAAACACAATTTCTCACCTGAACTTTTATCAATTTCTTACGTCAACTACTTCTATCCACTTTCTATGATCGATCGCCGGTAGCCGGTGACTTTCTGATTTAGTAACTTTCTTATCTCTTGATTATTATGAAGAATAATAGCAACAAAGGAGAAAATAACAGCAACAATCATAACAATAAAAACAATCGGTTTCTTCCTAATTCTTTGAAATTCATTTCTTCTTGTATTAAAACCGCTTCTTCCGGTGTCCGGTCAGCCAGTGCTTCTGTTGCTGCTTCTATCTCCGGTGACCACAACGATCGCAAAGACCAGGTTCAGTTCATTCCTTAATTTTTTTTGTGTATCTTATGTTTTAATCTGTTTTTTAGTTCATATTTTATTTTATTTTAATTATGAAAGCGAATTGGAATTCTATTAATTTTTTTTTAATTATTTTTAATGTTACTGTTAAAAAAAGTTGAATCAAAGGAATAAGGAAAAAATAAGCAATGATTGTCGCATAGTCCAGTTTAGGTTTTTAGTTATTTCCCAAAGAGCGCACTATAATTAAATTTTTGAAAAAAATGAATGTTTTGGTACTTTTTCTTGAAGTAGTCTAAGGGTTTACTGATGAATTATTTGGGTAAGAAATTTTTGCACTCATTTTTTTGTTTTCAATAGATTTAAGTTGCTTGGCATTACTGTAGTTGCTGGGTTTTATTAGAAAAGTCGATAGGATTGCGTTGTTTGCTAATCCGTAAATGTATATGTGGGTGGTTGCTCGTTAGTTTAGCTAGTGAAGTCAATTGCCATGGAATTAAGTGACTCGGGATCAAACGAGAGGGTCTAGTGACCAAGTTGCTTATAGAATGTAGATGCTTAAAAATCGAGTGGAGAGATAGAAAAAGAACTATGTCACCTGGTTATGATATCTTAAATGCTTTTTTGACATGCAATGATGCTAATCTATTGTTCTGTCACTTAAAGAGTTGCTATATCGATAAGCATCTGTTTATTGTCTTGCAATTTTGTTTTAGTGCTGTTTGTTTCCCTGTATGTGTGCTGCATTTTCATTGTTAGCTTATGTTTAGTGGCTTGGTATATGTTGTTTGGCGAAACAGGTGCTGTGGGCATCATTTGACAAACTAGAGCTTGGTCCTGGTTCCTTTAAGAACGTTCTTTTACTTGGATACTCCAATGGCTTTCAAGTCATTGATGTTGAAGATGCCTCTAACGTCACTGAACTTGTCTCGAGACGTGATGATCCAGTTACATTTTTACAGATGCAGCCCCTCCCTGCAAAGTCTGAGGTTTGCAAAGGAGAAGGATATAGAGCATCACATCCTTTGCTCTTGGTTGTTGCATGCGATGAAACAAAGAGCTCAGGTCTAGTACTCAGCGGGAGAGATGGCTTTAATGAGCCTCATACGGGAAATGTTGCTATCTCTCCAACTATCGTTCGGTTTTACTCACTGAGATCTCATAATTATGTTCATGTTCTGAGATTCCGTTCAACTGTGTATATGGTTAGATGCAGTCTGCGGATAGTTGCTGTGGGTCTTGCAACACAAGTAAGCATAAGTTTACCTAAGATGCTTTTCACAGTAACTTCTAGTGTATTTGTATATGCTACTAGTTTTTGTGGAATTTTCACCAGTTCGTTTGAAAACCCAGAATAATCAGATGGGATGGTTGCAGCGCCGCTACTAGTTAATGAAGACATTTATTGGCGGAAGTTTTTATCATCTACTAATAGAAGATTATGTAAATTTATTGTGGCTTGGTTAATTAATGGAGCTAAGTGATTGAAACTCTCTTAATCTCTTCTTCTTTTTTTCTTCTCATTGTGCTGGCAGATATACTGCTTCGATGCTCTCACTTTTGAGAACAAATTCAGTGTTCTCACTTATCCTGTCCCTCAGTTGGGAGGTCAAGGAATGAGTGGGGTTAATATCGGATATGGTCCAATGGCTGTGGGTCCTAGGTGGTTAGCTTATGCTTCTGACAACCCTCTGGTGTTAAACACAGGCCGTTTGAGTCCACAAAGTCTTACTCCTCCTCTGGGTGTCAGTCCGTCAAGTTCACCAGGCAGTGGGAGTCTGGTTGCTCGGTATGCCATGGAATCTAGTAAGCAATTAGCTACTGGTTTGATAAATTTGGGAGACATGAGCTACAAGACTCTGTCTAGATACTGTCATGATCTTATGCCTGATGGTTCTAGTTCTCCTGTATCTTCAAATTCAAGCTGGAAAGTTGGTCGTGGTGCAACACATTCAGCAGATTCAGATACTGCTGGAATGGTTAGTTTTTGACAGGCTGATAACTGGAATTTTAATTGTAGCATGCAATCATGTGACTGGCAATTAAAAACTAGTTTTCATGTCTTGGCTTATATAATGAAATCATGCACTTAAGGTCTATTTTGCACTTTTTTCTATCATATAGGTGGCTTTGTAATTTTTATACATGCTAAGTACCAGAGGCATGGGGCAGAAAACATCTGTTGTTAGCATTCAAGTGTAAATCAAATATTTTCTCTCTTAATTAAGTGTTCTATTGCAGGTTGTTGTGAAAGATTTTGTTTCCAGAGCTGTGATATCACAATTTAGAGCTCATACTAGTCCGATTTCTGCTCTGTGTTTTGATCCAAGTGGTACACTTCTGGTCACTGCCTCTATTCATGGGAACAATATAAATATTTTTCGAATTATGCCATCCTGTTCTCAAAGCGGCCCAGGTGCTAAGAGTTATGATTGGAGCTCTTCTCATGTGCACCTTTACAAGCTCCATCGTGGCATTACCCCTGCTGTATGTTTCTATTTCCTTTGTCTCTCAACATTATTGTTTCTTGAATTTTTATGGAGATGTAGTCCTTTCTGTATGTCGTACAGGTTATACAAGACATTTGCTTTAGTCATTACAGTCAGTGGATTGCCATTGTTTCATCCAGGGGAACTTGCCATATTTTTGCGCTTTCCCCTTTTGGCGGTGAGAACGTTCTTCAAATACATAATTCCCATGTTGATGGGCCAACTCTTTTGCCTGTTATATCCTTACCATGGTGGTCCACTCCATCTTTCCTGGTAAACCAGCATTCTTTTTCTTCATCACCACCATCGCCTGTTACCCTTTCGGTGGTAAGCAGAATAAAAAATAACAACTCTGGATGGCTCAACACAGTTAGCAATGCTGCATCTTCTGCAGCAGGAAAGGCGTCAATTCCATCTGGCGCTATAGCTGCTGTTTTCCATAGTTGTGTGCCCCAGGATTCGCAACCTGCACACTTGAGAAAAGTTAACTCTTTGGAGCACCTAATGGTTTACACTCCTTGTGGTCATGTAGTTCAATATAAACTGTTGTCATCAGTTGGGGGAGAGCAAAGTGAAATTGCTTCTAGAAATGGGCCAGCTTCTTCAGTGCAGATGCAAGATGAGGAATTACGAGTGAATGTTGAATCTGTTCAATGGTGGGATGTTTGCCGAAGAGCAGATTGGCCAGAAAGAGAGGAATGCATTTCTGGAATCACTCGTAGGGGGCAAGAAACTAAAGAGACGGTCATGGACATGTCTGATTGTGAAGATGATGGTATTGGGCATTCACAGTTGGTGAAGTCCCATGAACCATCTCACTTGTATCTCTCCAATGCAGAGGTGCAGATGAACTCTTGGAGAATACCTATTTGGCAGAAATCTAAGGTACTTTCAGAAACTCATTATGCAGTGCTTCTACTTATCATGTTTCAACTTTGCTTATTTTTTATTCCCCTATGCTAGATGTATTTCTATGCGATGAGTCATCTGGCGCCTAATGAAGAGAACATCATTGAAGATCAGACTGGTCAAGAGATTGAACTAGAGAAGGTTCCTGTTCATGAGGTTGAGATTAGGCGGAAGGACTTACTTCCTGTTTTCGACCATTTTCACAGGACTCCTGAATGGAGTGAACGGTAATTCACAAGTGTTTCTGCTTTGTAGTTATGGTAACTGGGTAATGATTGTTAGTGAGGTTACCTCAGTCATTTTCTTCCTGTTCATGTGTTTTGCTCATTCTATTTTAAGACTGCTTTACAACTTCTTTTTTAGTAATGGCAAGTTGGAAGCTGTTTGCAGAATTCTCTCACATTGAGCTTGCTAATTGTGCAAGAGTGAAAACAAAGATGCAAGGCTTGTTCTTTGCTGAATATTGATTTCGTAGAGTGAAAGCAAAATTTTCTCACACCTGACACTCTTATAGCGCTTCTTGCTTTAGCTCATATTTCCTGTTCCTCTCGGTTATTCCATTTTGTGTTTCTTAATTTTGTCTATTTTTTGACATCCACTACAATGCTCATTGTCATTAATTTTTTTGCATCCTTCGTAAGAATATGAAGACTTTATAATGTTAAATTGTTTTGAGTAACAATGAATTAAAAAACAGGTAGACATGTAACAAATGATTTATGCTTATTAATGGTATGGGAGATTTAGAAAAATAGGTCCATCAATGCTGTTCAGATTTTGGTTTACTCATCTAAGATTTTTCACTCTTTAATTCAAAGCTTCAATGTATGTCTTATTCTGTCTTCTTGCAGAGAATTTGAAATTTTAATGGGTTTGTTTTGCAACTGAGTAACGTTGTTGATGGTGGTTGCCTGGGGGATAGGGATAGGAAATGGGCAAATAGTGAGGAATATCCATCTAAACAATGTGTCCAAAATTTTCCTGTCAACCATGTCCATTTCAGATGTGAACTCAACTTTCTGTTTTGTGCAGGGCTGTAGGTGGTGTAAGGTACTCAACTTCATCTTCTGGATCTCGTGGAGTTAAAGAGTCTGAAGATGCTGTTATTTCCCACTCCGAGCTGGTCTCAGCTCCAAATTCAGACGGTGGTATGACACTTTTATCAATGTCCATTTTTTATGAATTGTAGAAATGACGTGACTTGTTTTACTCTTGATACGTTCCCCAGGATCGTCAACAAAATTTTATCCCTCAATGCTGCAAGCTGTTAATTCTAATAAAGCTGGTGAAGGAGGGATTTCTTCGTTGGCATCACCCATTCTGTATGAAAGCTCTATCAACAGAGATAGTGGTTCGATTTCATTCAAACAAACTCAAATGGGTGCTTCTCCTGCTGAGAATAGTAATTTTATCAATAGCAATGTAACATCTTTAACAAATGGTCCACTTGCTGCTGGAAGAATGATTGCTAAAGAAGTTCAGTCATCAGAAAGTGGTGTCACCAGCGAAGCTTCAAACATTAGTTCCAATCGTTCTGATTTGAGTATGAACATTATTGATGAGGGACCAGCAAATGATTCCTTAGATTTTGAGCAGTTTTTTCAAGAGGGTTACTGTAAAGCATCAGACTTGAATGAACGTCAAGAATCAACTGAAGTTCTTACATTTGTGGACAACAACAGCAGTCCTTGTGATGTAGATAAATCTGAGGAAGATGGTGACAATGACGACATGCTTGGAGGTGTTTTTTCTTTCTCCGAAGAAGGTACGAATGTGGAAGTCATACAAACTTTTTTCTTCTATATCATGAAAATTTAACATGATCATCTAAGATGCGGTTGCTGAATTCTGTGTATACAGTTTCTTGCTTCTCCTAAATTCTATTTTGAAATGATTTACAATCTACATTATATTGATTAGATTTGATTGGATTCTCAAACTATCTGCATGTAACTTCAATTATGAAGTTGTTTCTGCTGTCAGCATGTGTTGTGCTATAATTTATTCTTACCCGATCCTGATGAAGTTGTCTGTTCTAATTACTGGCAGGTTGATGTCCGTTTTCCTGTTTTCAAGTTCTGCTTAGTTGAAGGTGCTTTTCCTTACAATTCAATTTGTTCTGCAAAAGTCAGCCTAATGGGGGTGGTTAGACACTAATTGATAAATGTGGCAATAATTGCCTTTCAACAATGGAATGCTACTGACAGATTGATACGAGAAATGAGATAATCTTGGCAGATATATTACTGCCAGTGTAAATGCCAGGCTTCTGCCCTTCTAATTCTCATGTAAATGTTGTAAATTGATATTCAAATGCCAAAAATTTGTGTGGAAAGGTTCATTCTGTGCTGTGTAACATTATTTGTTCATCAAAGAAAAAAAAATTGAATAAAAAAAATTGAAATGAATTCATTATCAATATGCATTTTTTTTTCCTTTCTATTCTCTTCTGCAAGATGCATGATTCAGATTCAGGGATATCAGGTGGATTGTTTTGATTCGCATGCACTGCGAATTCAGGTTCTTGGTTTCAGGTATGTACTTGAATGTTGGGAATTTTCGTTGCTATACTATTTCATGGCGATGTAGCAAGAATTCTCTTCAAAAGAAGGCACATGTAATCTGCATAGCAGTCTCTAAACCCCTCAAAACTTGCATCGCTGTGTGGGTGGTGCCGGTCTGCAGGGTGTGGCTGTGTACAATTGCGTGTCATAGCTCAAGTTTTTCTGACTCCTCACGGCGATGCTGGTGCTTGCTCAAGCTTTTCCAGAAAAGTTTTTGTATTCTTCCTATAGTCCAGTTCTTATTTGTCGGCAAGGTGAAATTTTTGTGTCATAAATATGTTTGTACATGTGTGCGCTAGAGAGAGAGAAGAAACGGCCAAATTACACTGCAAATTGTGATGTGCAACACTTGTGGGGTTTAGATGGTATCATTTCATTCAAGTTTCTACTTTGGATACCCAGACATCCTACATCTTTGTATGCTTGTGGCCTGCATTAGCAGCTCTATTACTGACAAGAAATCCAGCTGCAAACAAAAAAAAAAAAAAAAAAAGGCCCCACTTGGATGTCATTCATATCAAGAAGAGAGGCACACAAAGGAGTGGTCCTTTCTGCTTACACGCCTAATAGTCACTGAGATTCTCTATGTCCATTATCGAGTTGCCCAAAGCTTTACAGAGTCTGTAAACTATCCTAGAGAAAACAGCAATGAGATAATGATGCAGAACTCTTTCAGGCCTGCAGCCATGAAATGACATTGTGCCCAAGTTTTGTCCTCGATCTCTTAATTGATCACACAATTTGAATGGCCCTGTTGCGGGGGCCAATTTATTGGGGTCCCATGAAACTTGGTTTGTAGTGGTAATGATAAAAAGATAGCTGCTTTTGCTTATGGACAACAGAATGAAGCATGCAGCATTGGCGATTTGGATAAAGTTTTGATAAACACACTATTCTCTCTACAATAGCAAACCGGGGATATAACCAAGGGTTAGTCCGATAGGTGAGGTTCTGGCACAGTTTGATCTCAGGTTCAGGGTTTGATTTCCGCAACTGCCTTGGGGTTCCAGAATATTGTCTCATATGGACAGGGATGACTAGTCTGGTCTGGTCTGGGCTTGGCCGGGCTACCTCCTGTGAACAGCCTTGTGCTGGGATACACTTCCTACCATGCCCAAAAGAAAAGAAATCAATGTAACATAACTACGCAGAATGTCCCATGCTAAAGGTTTATATATATATATATACTTTTTTAAACATTAATATATAAATGAATTTTTATGAATGTTGGTCTCAAAACTATGCTCAAGTAATAAGCCAGTGTTAGCGTAAAGGAAAGATCGTCAGCCTTTGGTTAGGTAATCCAGTTCATCAAACCTAAATCTAGGTCATAGGTGACAGAGGATTCCAGTTTTGGTCACGTGGTTTGGTGTACTAGTAACAGTTACCCATCCAAGTAGGTCCAAGCCTTTAATTCACCTAAGACAAAAATAAAAAATAAAAAATCATTTTCAATGGAGACGTCAAGACAAAAAGATCTGTAGCTCACGCGAGGGCCTACCACTAGTTTCTCCTTATAATTTGAGATTTGTATATTAGCAAGATCTATAGGTTACTAGCAATTAGCATTTGTGACCCATATATAGGGCGTAGAATTTGTTCAAGGAAAAAGAGGAGGCAAAATGTAGATGGATTTTCTTCTCATGTTATTATTTTATATTTAATAAAATTTTCTCAAAGATGATGTTTTGCGGATGCAAAGTTAACATCACAGTATTGGCTTTGGGCACAGGAAAAAAACCAGTAGGCATTTGATCATGGCTGACGGACATCAAAATTCCAAGCTGATAAAGTTCCCTATGGTTGAATATTTGGATTGAATTTGCAAAAGCTAAAGATAGTGCTTGAATTTTCACAATTTGTTTGATAAAATATATATATATAATTCCATAATTTCAGGATCAAATTATGGATCATTTGAATGAGATGCTACCTATTTACTCCAATCAACTTCTGACACATGCAGTGTCCAGTTATATTGCACCAAACACAAAATATTAAGATATACAAGCATGTCCCCCACAAAATGCACTAAGAAATCGACACGTATCATTCAAAATTCTTCGGACAAAATCCACGCCCAGTGTGTGACATAGGAAAACGAAAGCTCTCAACGTCACAGAACAATTAAAGAACAAGGAAGATGAAATTTAGAATTATTAATGTCAAGGACTAGGTTCCAGAAGCATATTATCTTTGGCCAAGTCTCCTTTTTCAAGTTACATTGAATCAAATTACAAGTCTGAATACCACAATTAGAACCATAAAACTAGCAATTTGATGAGATTCTTACAAGGCTTCACCACCACAACCCTACTTTTGATTAAATCCTAAGTGAGTGTTTCTAGTATTGATTCTTAGATCTCATAAAAATTGCCCATTTTTCTCTCTCTCTCTCTCTCTTTTATGTCTGATTTTCTTTATTCATGTCTTCTCTTGCCAGAACATTCATGTCCATATCGATATATTTATAAAAATATATATTTTTTTACAATTATTTTTTTTCACTTGCTATCCATTCATGATTAATTCTCTAATCAAATATTAGAGTGAGAAAAAAATAGTATGTAATAAAAAAAATCAGCTGGGAAAGTATAATTAGTGAAATGGGAAGAGATGACATGGGAGGATAAAAAGAGAAGAGGAAGAGAGAGTAGGTAAGATAAAAGTGGATATGTTCTTTGACTTGAGCATTATGAAGAAAGAGGCATTGAATTTGCAATTACTATTGTTTATGGCGACTTTTCTGTCATTTCATTTGGAAGAGACAAAATATTACCCCATAAAAAATTTCCATGACATAAATGCTAGAAGATTTCACATCACTTTCACTTGTTATCATACGCTGAGCATAAAAAATAAAATAAAAATTAATGGGGTTTAGCTCTCCCTTAAGTTTTGGATCTTGACACTCTGAATAGATTGATCACTATCGGTGGATAGTGGTATCTCATCACTATGTATTTTAATTTGGCACATACCAACTTCCAATTAAGAATAATATTTTTTTCCTCAATAATAAGATATCTTCGGATCAATTTTTACATACTTCAAAACTAATTTTTTTTAAACATGATTATAAAACACTCTTCAACATATAGTCTCGAGTATTTTGAGAATAAATTCTAAAAAACATTGACCATAAGAATCAAATCTTAAACCTAACGTATAAGTAAACGATTTTTTATCAATAGGCTAACACCTTATGATTTAAGAATAATAATATTTCATTTGTCATATCTCATGCAAAAATATATAATGATATGGTGTCTCTAGTTAAGTAGATAACTCAAAAATTCATAAGGTAATTTATTTTTCAAGATAAATAATTTAATTTATCTTTATATAATATTTTGAGTCTTTTTTCTGTCTTTAAGTTTTTAATTGTATTTCATTTACCATTGAAATTTTTTGAAATATTTAATTTATCTTTTTCATTAATTTTTCTATCAATAGAAAAAAATTGACTGAAATACCCTCGAGTAAAATGTAAAATAAAATAATAATAATAATTTAAATACTTGAAAAATAGAGCATGCAGTTCATGTAACTTTATATTATTTTTTTCATTTCAATAAAAGATATTTTGGTCAAAAAAATTTATTATGAAAAAATTGTTCAAAAAACATATTAAACGTTTCAAAAATATTTTAAAAAATAAATGAAATATAATTAAAAATCTAAAAACATATAATAGACTCAGAATTTTGTATAAAGTCTGATTGAACTATTACTCTTTTTTTTTCTTTTTTTTTAAAAAGGTCTACGGCGTAAGAATCTATAAAGGTATCAAAAAAACTCTCATAAAAGTGCCCAAAGATAACAAAAATATGCAGCAAAGGATAAAGCAGAAGAAGAAGATGGATAAGGTCATATGCATTAATTATACGAGTAAGGATATTTTCACTAAGGTACTATCACTACTGATAGGAATTTTCACACAAATGGATCTATCAAGGCAGAGCTATCTAATAATAGACTGTAGATATTTTTGGTATAGGAAATACAAGTGAGCCAAGATCAGTTTTTGTGGCAGATCTTATATGCTGATAACTCTTGTGGGTTCACTAGAACACAACACACTACAGACACCAAACTCTGAAATTGTCATGCCTCGGCCCACTGGATGCATATAGCATCTTGGAGAGGGGAAAACAAGAGGAAGTACATGTTCAGAAAATAAAATACAAGAATCAAAATGTTTTTTAGCCCTCCTGCTGCTCTAAACCACCAGAGACAGACTTAAAACCACAGTCTAGAACCGTAAAAAGTGACCTAGTAGTAAGAGTTTGGGACTTCTAACATGAGGTTTAAGGTTTAAATCTCATTTTTTACGTTTTGTGACAACCACAAATGTTATACTTGCTTCTCCGAATCCAAGAGCAGTAAGCTTGGAACTTACTGTTTTAAAGCTAATATGCACCCATCAAAATGATTGAAGAATGGTCAGTTCTTGGATTACCAAAAAAAAAAAACATGCATTTGCCCCATATAGATTAATTATAGGGTCTTTGGGTTTTATAAATGTGTGGCACGGTTCTTCTGTGACCTCCCTAAATTTCCAGTAACTAGCAATTTTTTACCTTTGATTGATGGACACTAAAGACAACAATCTCTAGACAGATCATGTACATAGCAACCGAACGTCGGTTACCAACATGTTTGATGAGGAGAAGGGAAAGGGGGAATACAATAGTTACTGAAAGAAAAGGATGAAAGGTGAAAGGTATAATGGCATCAAGTGGTGGATCTTGTGATGCTGTCAAATTTTTTAAGACTTAATTTGAGCTTGCCAATAAACAAATAATGTTGAGAAAGAGGGAGAACGAAGAAAACAAAAACACACAAACCCAGAGAAGGGAGGGAGGGAGGGAAAGTAAAAGAGCAATAATATAAAGAAGGGTGACTTCACATTCTCTTTATAGCAGACTAGTAGTCTACCCTAAAAGTAAGAAAGAATCTTTAGCTACAAAGACCATAAAAGTCATCAAATCCCTTTCTTTCTTTCAAACTTTTTTTCAAAGAAGTTAATCAACTCCTTCTACTTCTATACACTATAAGATCTACCAGTTTATAACTTAGGGACCGGGGAACTTGAGAAAAGTTAACAATGGATAGTGTGATTCAGTTGCAAAGGCAGTTAGTTGACTACACAGCCCAACTGTTTAATGAGGTTAGTGTATAACTTGCAAAATATTAGGCATTAACATAGATATAAATTAAAGAGATGCAGAAGCAGAAGAAGAAGCTTTTGTTTGGTTTGGTTTTGCTTTGTTTTGCTTCTACTTTGTTTGGTCTTTCTCTGGCTGGCTGATGATAAGTTCTTTGTGTGTGTCTGAAGGGAATTTTGGATGACCAGTTTAACCAACTTCAACAGCTTCAAGATGAGAGCAACCCAGATTTTGTTGTTGAAGTTGTGACTCTTTTCTTTGAAGACTCTGAAAGGCTTCTTAATGAGCTGGCCAAAGCTCTGTGAGAATTTTAATTCTATAGATCTTCCTTTTAGCTTCTTTTTTTCTTTCTTGGGGTTAAATTTATGGTAGATTCCACTGTCCTAATGTAAATATTTCTGGTATTGGATAGAGAGCAGCAAAGTGTAGATTACAGAAAAATTGATGCTCATGTTCACCAGTTGAAGGGTAGCAGCTCCAGGTATATATTTACCAGTTCTGTCTATATTTCCATCCTCAACACCAGTGAATTCCTGATATAAAAACCCATTTTCAATCACCTTGTTTAAGGAGAAGCTGAATCTACTATTAGGCCTAGGTGGTCAAAGCGAAAGGCTTTATTTTCCTTCATGGATGAAACTTGTTTCGGCTTTCCAGAACATTGACAAGCTGCACATGTAACTTACCTTGACTGTTATCGTTATGGTTTCATTGCTTAAAAGTCAAATTTGTAACACAAAACTTGTCACTTGCCCGAAGCACGTTTCACCATTGGCAGTACTGCTTGCTAAAGAATTTCAAACTCCAATTTCAAATCAGTGCAGTTTTCTATGCAATGTCCATTTTATTGCTTGATTTTTTTTGTCTGGTCAATTAATCCTATGAATTTGGCTGATAGCTATATGTAATTTTTTTTGCATTACACCAAAGAGAAGTATGTTTGAATATATTCTTATCCTATCATGGGAAATGCTGCCTTCATTTATGTCTCTTCCATCAGTTATCCTCCACTAAAAATGGTCTTGAAATAACAGCATTGGAGCTCAAAGAGTTCAGAAAGTCTGCATTGCCTTCCGCAACTGCTGCGAGGACCGAAATATTGAAGGGTAAGTTTCTTTTCAACTCATATTTCCGATTGCTTTACTGTAGCTTTACCCACAAATTGTTAGGTTCAATCTTTTAAAAAATATATATTGTTATGTACTGTTTCATGTTTCTGGAGTCAAATTTGGTTTGGTGTAGGTGCCAAAAATGTCTGCAGCAAGTCAAGCATGAGTATTCCTTAGTGAAAACTAAGCTTGAAACTCTGTTCAAGGTAAGAGGAAAAAAAGGAAAAAACAAAAGTAATTTGTTTAGAATGAACACTGTTGCACAAGCAACTGATTTCTGTTTATATGATCGCAGCTTGAGCAGAAGGTTTTGGCAGCAGGAGGGTCAATTCCTTGGCCAGTATAATAAGGTGAAAACCATTGCAGAAGATCACAGCCAGAGAAAGCAAAATGGGATTTTGGATATGTAGAAAAGCTTTTGTTTTCTTTCTTCATTGCTCTTCTTTCTTTCAGCATTTCCTGTTGAGTACTTAAGCTCTAAACTTTTATGAGTAATGTTTTAGCTTAAGCTTTGTATGATATCCAATGCCTGAGCAATGATGAAGAATGTGAATAAGCCACTACTTTGTTCATTACTTCTCCTCCTTCTGCTTAAACAATGGTATATTATTATTGTTACTGTTACCAATGGCCATCTAATCTAGCGGTACCCTTCCTTGGCAAACAAGCTCGAATCCAACTTCACAGCCTTAAAAAACAAAACAAAAGAAAGGAAAGGAAATGAAATGCTGATCAATAATGAAAAAAGACATCAAGATAGCGTCTAGAACAGAACCTTCATTTTCTTTAACTGTAGAAAAGAGCCTATATGCTCCTCCATTTGTCACATTATTCCGTGGACGATTTGTAGCTTAAAGGTCGATGTAAGACGTGTCGTTACAGAACTGATTTGTAATTTATAATTCAGAGTGGAAACTTTGTTATGGATAATAAACCAATTGCGCAAAGAATCTTATCCTTTGTGCTAAATTTCTGGTGATTTCCAACCACTAATCATTGGCGTTGTAACTAAATATCACATAACTTGTTTTTTAATAGTTAATAAAAGCTGGAATTTTCTTTTTAATTTCTTGGTGGGGTTAGAACTTTCACTTTTACTAAGGTAGGTGTGAAGGTTTGTCATTACAGTCATCTGATAAACCACTGAAATCCTTACTTAACCAATCTTGATAAACCTCCAAAAACAAATGAGGTTATGCATCTCAAAACCAACCCAAACTGAAGGGTTTAGTCCTAAAATATTGTTGACATCAACTCTTCTCAAAACTAGCTGCTAAAAATTCCTGTTTTTTGGACGCAAGAAATTGAACTGCTATAACTTTGACTATGACTGATTTAATGGCCAAGCTTCCATTTGGATGAATAAGGTCGGATGCCATGTTACATCAAAGACAAGCACAGACATTGGCCAAATAAAAATTGTAGCCACCGACCATTAGCTCTTATCACGAAGATATCATACTAATTTTTTTATGAGTACCAAGTGGTTGGTAATGTACTTTGGTATCAATTATCAAAAACAAAGAAGAAAATTCCACATTGATGGGGTGATTTGTTAGTCTCCTGCAATATATTTTAACCAATCATTCCATAATCTATGTATTACATTCAATGAATGGATGCGTTTTTTTCTAAAGGTCAACTGTTTTTACATGAGATGGGATGTCTCCTGGTCTGCAAGTATGTTCAAGCAAAGGCCAAAAAATACATGCTGTAATGGCAGAGTTCTATATTTATTTGCATGGCTCTTTGTTTAAAGATTTGTTAACCAAACATTTTACTTCAATTTGTTTCTCTTCCAGTTCATGACAAATCCTGATTAAAGCTCACAGGGCATGTGCACATGACTTTCTTCAAGTTTTGAAGATAACAGGAGTAGGACTTGAATCTGAATCTTATTCTTTCCACACTCAGCGAGGAAGCGTGTCAATGGACTAAACTCCCATTAGTGACCAATAAGAAACCTCATGGAAAAGGCTACTTTTGCCGGAAAATAGGAGTGGAAGGAACTGGTTATATCTGATTTAAAAACCCTAAGCAGATTTGGCGGAGTGAGTTTCCAGATGGGCAGATTCTAACATGTGATTCACTATAATATTTTATATTAAATGCAGAATGCATGTCTTGTATCCTTTAAGTTTAGTCTCAATCTTGATAATATTATATAACCCCAATTTTGTCAACAGGCAAGCAAGTGCATGCATGTAGGACTAGAAGCTGTAATTCCCATATTTTATATTTACCAAAAGGCAACAACCAAAGTGTTTTCAGGAATAGGCACTGTGCCAACTTGGAATCTGTGAGACAAGTAATTTTATAGTGAGAAAGGAGCAATTTTAGGCTTTCCAGCTGAAAATACTTTAACGAAAATCAGTCTGAGATTAGAGAACATCAGGCTTCAATTACATGACAGAGAACAGCATAGAAAATTGTGACGAAAGCAATGACAATCGACAAAAAGGAAAAATATATTCAGCACTAACATTCCATTCCCTTCACCTCTCAGCATCTGATACTATGGTTTGGTCATGTTTGGATGGATACTCCATGTACTATTCTTTTCTTCAGAGTTTCATGTAGCAGCAGATTGCCTGTAGAATTGACATTTCTAAGACTTTATTAGCTTCCCTGGTTCTCCATCGATAATTAGCAGTCTGCTTTTGACGTATGTCATTCTGCTAAGATCACTGCACCAAGGAAGGTATCCTATAAAAGGAAATAGCATTAGTCTTAAGCTATGTTAGAAGTCAATTAGCACTGCATGCACAATGACATTAAAATTAAGAAGGGAAGGTCAAGAGAATGGAAAAAATATATCCTCAGGATGGATTACAAAATGAAGAGTATTTTATCATGTGATGGTATCTATGATTTTCCTGACATAATTTCCAAAGCCTTGAAAGAGGATTCCTGGAAAACGCAGATTCAGAAGACTCAATTGTGGACAGCAAATTGTTAAGCAGTTAATGGAAATAACTAACTCTCCTTTGCTTGCTCTGGAACTAGTTTGATTGTCTAGTTCAGACTTCGGATTCTAAAACTACCTTCGCAGCTAAAGGATCAAGACGCATTTTGAATTCAGCATATTCATTTGAAGGAATATTCAAAACATTTGCCCTCTCATTGGCATGGCCTAATGTCTCCCTGCAAAGAAATTTTCTCTGTGAACAGATGAACTTATCAGTCAAAACTCAAAAGCCTTCTGCAAAATCCAAAATTATGTTTCTAGCATTATAGGATACACTGTGTGTTGCTTTTTTGATTTCTTTCTTGAATTTATTTAGTTATCCCTAAAACTTATTATTTCAAGTTCTTCTAAAGACTTGCTGCAACAGTATATAATTTGATTTGACAGGTTGACCTGCATGAGCATTTAAGTAGGGCTGTGCTTCAATCAAACAAGTGCCACAACTATAGAATGTTAGAACACATATCCTATATTGAATATTCAAAACAATAATGCATAACATATAAGGTTGAGAAAGGGTCACCCACCACAAGGCTTAAGTCTTTTGGATGAAACTCAATCTCAATTATCTAACTCTATATGGTATAAGAGCCTCAAAGAGGACTAACAGCTCAACAAAGATCCTGGAGCCCAAGAAAGGTTATTTTGGATTCTCTATCCAGTGATTCTATAATTGGTTTCCAAATATCTAGTGCTGATGGTTGCATAATCTGATCAGGATGACCAATGTCTCGACTCTCGAGGACCACCAAATTTTACAGAGTTCTCGGCTGTGTATCAGAAACAAAATTGAGTTGAACATTTTGTTTCAGCATAGGATGTATAATGAAATACACAAATTACATCAATGCAATGGAAAGTCTGATTTTGATTACTAGTTCTTTATGTCCAATATAAGAAAGAGAATCGAAATCATTAATTGGGGTACCTCAGAAAACTAATCTTTAACATTTTTTCAAGTTGCATTGCCATTTACATTATAAATTTCAATTATATGTCTCATACCAAAGAACCTAAAATGGACGAGATTGGAAATTAACAAGTAGTGTATCACAGTCTAGACAGCCAACATTATCATGCGGAATGGCCTTGGCATACTTGTAGTCTCCAATAGAAAGGATAGTTGGCTCTGCTCTGCAGAAAAGCAACTATCTTCAAGACTAACTGGAATATCATTACGACCCATCGTATGAAGTGTATCATAAAGAACATCTACTGTTGCAGAAGAACTATGCACAAACGATTTCAACTCATATAAGCTATGCTACTCAGGTTTCATCTTACAAAGAGCTGCAGAGTATATATTACCTTCAGGTTGATCAACTGAACGGGCAACTTTAGAAGATGGAGTAGGACTAGAAAATTCTCGACATTCATCTCCATGTAGAAGATTACATTTTGAAATCAGGTTTATAAACATCCTTTGGATACAAGGAGGAGAAGGCCTCTTGCCCTTGGGCCTGGAATAGAAGCTATACTCAGCATATGGCAGAATGAATTTCTCATCCCCATTTGAACATGATGCCATGACCGGTATTGCACCTCATTCTTCTATATGTTCTCAATGGATTTGATGCCATCTAACTTTCCATGAGTTTCATGTGAATTGATGTTCATAACTCTTTGAATTTCACATTATTGAAAGTGCTACTCCATCCATAAAAGAATCCACAAGCAAAATACCGGCAAAAATGTCAATGTGATTTGGATGAAACAAAGAATCCCCTCCAGTTCCAGGAAGTACATCATGAAATCTGTCACTGCGCCATCCTGCCCTCTTTCAAATGCCAAGAAGAAATTCTTGCTTACAGGCATTGTGTTTGTTGCATCACAGAGGTATAAGTGTTACTACTTCAGCAGTAGCTTATGCTCCTACGTTGTTACAATATTTCAATTATTTAGCAGCAGTTCAATCTGAAATACTTGTAGCTACACAGCTTTACATTATTTATGCTGCCAAGCCAATATATAGAAAATCACTAGCTCAATACCCGTGTGTTGTCGCACGTAAATCTATTATATAGTATGTTTTAGTATTTTAAATAATTCAAAAATATAAATATAAAATAAAATTTAATTAATATTAATTGCAAAAAAATATTTTAATATGTATTATACAATATTTAATAATATGTATTATACAATATTTAATAATATGTATATAATTGAGTTTAAATATATCTTAGGAATATTTTTTTATTTTGATAAATAAAAAATCATGCAATTAATTATTTATTTTAAAAAAATCAAATTAGAATGAGGTGCTTAATCAATTTATATTAGAAGAATATTTAATTTTAATTAATGAATCATTATAAAAATAAAAATAAAAATAAAAAGTAGTCATTAATTATGAGAAAAATTATTTTAAGTAAATAATAAATGATGAAAAGATAAAAACATAAAAAAATAAAAGCCAGGCTCACCGACACCAAGCCCTTTTGTATGAGATGGAGAAAAACAGGCCCATGCAGTTGGACTGAAAACCCGATCCAATCAAAAAAATCATAACGATCTTTTTGTAATATTAATTAAAATTAAAAATTGTTTTATATAAACTAACAAATTAGAAGATAAAAATGTAAAAAATGAAAAATTGACAAAAAATACTTAATATTTTTTGGAAAAACAACTTGTTTTGAGCCTAAAAGATTCAGATTCAAATGCTGATCTACAGTAAAATACTATTTTGTTTTAGTATATAGTTTAATTTAATAGCCTGAAAAACAATACTTCATGAGTCATAGTTCATGCATGCATTTTAACTTGTAATGCTAAGAAAGTAAGAAAACAGGTCCTCTGTGTGCAGCCAAAGTATCTGAAAATATACATTGAAGTTTGCATATGAGAGGTAGCTGTCAGGATACGATTTGCCAATGGCGGTATCGCACTCATGCTCTCGATCGCTTGGAAGAGTTGACACTTCCGGTGCAGTTTTACTTCAGATGGGCGATTTTCTAGAAAAAATAAAGCAAAATTTGTACAAGTCCACGTGAGAAACGCAAGAAAATGGTTCTTTGTTTTATCTACAAGTTCGATAGTCATAGAATGACTCGACCCAGACCTAATTGAAACCATAAGAAAAGTTCAAGAGCTTATATTTTTATTTTTTTAGTGAAAAAATGCTTATGTTCGATATTACTCTGAACTTTCGATTAAATATAAACTGATCATCGAACTTTAATTATTTGAATTTAAGTATCAATTTGTTTAAAATTCCTAATTAAGTCCATTTTTTCAATCGACCAAATTTCAACTATATTTTTTACAGATGATCTAATAAAATAATGACACGTGACATTTTTAAACTGAAAATAAGACGACCAAAAAAATCTCAAATCTAAATTAGAAAAAAAAATTATATCTCATTCATCTACTTTTCTTTTCTTTTTTTCCTTCCTCTCTTTCAATAATTAACTCAATCAAAACTCAATTCATTGCAAACTCGTTCCTTATCTCAGCTAGCTCTGTTCACAGATTTTATGATTGAGCATCAGGAAAACAAAAATACTCCTTGAAGGGAGAAAAAGGAATGGAGGGTGAAATTAGCAACTTCTCTTAATCTCTCCACCATATTTCTTGGTGGCAATACAGCATTTTACGTTGAGGGATGACAATGAGCCGAGTACAATTTCTTATCCTACCCACTAAAAAATACTATACTCATTATTCTATTCATTACCTACTAAAAATCATTTGTCCATTTATTTATCAAGTTCATATTCATTATATTATACATTGCTCATATTCTGTCCATACCCATTTACTCGTTAATTTTTTCCTTTAAATCATTTATCAAGTCCTATCTCAACTTTTGTTTCTGTTGCTTGTTTGCCCATCAAGATCCAAGAAAACCCACCTCCAAAATCACAAAACAAAGAAAACTAACCTCAAATCACAACACCAAAAAAAAAAAAAAAAAAAACCCCACTGAGTTATATTACCCGGCTCAAATCCTTTTCGTCTCAGTGGATTTACAATGAATGATGGGTTTGGAATAATTTGGGTTTTGATTGAGTTGAAAAGCGCAGAAGGGGAAGACAAAGAGGCAAATAAATGAGAATTTTTTTTTTTAATTTAAAAAAGTTGCCACGTGTCGCTACTTTATTAGACCACGTCTGAAAATAGTCCATCAACCTGAAAGGAACACTGATTGCAAAATATATATATATATATATATATATATATATATAGTATTGAAATTGAAAAAACTAGAATTTGGATATCAGTCTTTATTTGACCGAAAATTCAAACTATATCGAATTAATTAACCGAAAAAAATAAAAAAAAATAGATAAATTATCCCATATTTTTTTTTGGCAAAAAATACATAAAATTCACATTACACAACCTTTTTATTTGGAAAGTTTCAACCACACTTCTGCCGAGTTGAAGTTCAGATTTTTTTTCATAAATAATTACGATCACACGTGAAAATACAGATAGGTCATCAATTGTAGGTTACAGCGGATGAAATTCCAGCTTTCAACTTCATCCACTTTAGTACTGCACCAACCCGCCGTGAACAAGAGCTTATCTACAAACTCTCAGGTCTGTGGAGAGAAACAATTTGATTGATCATATTCACAGCCTTCTCCTTTATGCAAAAGGCTATGTACTTGGTTACAAGAGGCTTAGTTGTTCATTAAGATCGAGTACGATGTCTATAACATTATCAAAAATTGCCTTGTTGTGGCCTAGCTCAAAAAGCTGAAAGCTTTTATTTTATTTTATTTTTTTGTTATAAAGAATAGGTTAGAATAAAATATGGATATGATGTCACGTAGCTTAAACGAGATGAAGGATTTTCTTTATTTTACTTTTTGTTATGAAAGAGAGGTTCTTGAGAGACTTCTTTTTAGAAGAAAAAAATATATCTATACTTTCTTCTAACCTATTCTTTATAATATATATGTGTGTGTGAAGGAGATGGAGGATTTTTTCTTCTAACCTAATCCTAATAAAAGGTTGCTTCCAATTAGAACTACGTCGGAAGTAGGATAAAACAAAGAAAAAACAATAATAAAAATAATCTTCATTTCTTACCGACATGATAGCAAATGAATATTTATTAATTTGAATTTTATGATGATAGTGCTATAAATTAAGGCCCGTAAAGAAAAAAAAATCTATTAATATTATCACATATTTGTAACAAATTACTTCATAAAAATTTATCAATACATATTATTTTAATAATATTAGTAATATCACATAACTGAATAAGTAATAATACTACATTTTCTTGTCTTTTAAAAATCTAGTTCTCATTAATTCCTTAATAATACAAGTTTTTTAGTATCTCAAATTGTAACCTCCAATTATTTATTTTCACACTTTATCTCAATAAAGTGATATATTTAGTTTAGAGATTCAAGTGTTATAAAAAAATTTATTTAAAAAACTCTATTGTCTACTTGTTCCATCTCAGTTAATTTGAAATATACTTTTATGTCAAGCCTTGAATTACTAAAATGAGCTCTAGTTTGTAAAAAGTTGATTTCACATGTTACTATTCTTACCATTAAGCTTGAAACAAATGAAATAATTACTTTTGAATATATTTATTTCCTAACTCCATATCAACTCTTAACATAGAAAAAATATAAGCATGTTAAAAAAAATACGAACAATAATTTTGATAATTGGTTAATGCATAAAAAAGTAAAAATATAAAGAGCTTAAGTAAACCTCAAATTTCAAACTAGTCTCGTATTTATATATTTTTCTCGTATTTAAATTTTTAATATATTAAAATATAAAACAATATTATTTTTAATTATAGATCGGGTTATTATCGAATCGGATCAAGGTAAATCTATATTTCATCTATTTAATAAATGGGTTAATGGATTTGGATTATAATTAGACTCTAATAAATTAAATAAAAAGCTCGCTACCGGATTCGGATTATGATTGGACTCTAATAAATTAAATAAAAAATTGATTACTAAATTCAGATCGGATTTGGATCAAAATCTGATTAATTAACAGTCCTATGTCCATGATACGTGAAGGACACGACTATTATATTTTAGGATTAAATTTGTAATTTTTTTTTAGGAAAAACCTTGATTCAGATATTATTTTTAGTTCTTTTTATGAATTAAAACGCTTCAACATTTAACTAGATAGAACCTTATTTCAATATATTAATTTTTTTCAACAGCAATAAATGATCATGTTTTTATATGAGAAATATTTGAATAAAAAAAAATTAAATTTATTTTTTTGTAATTTTGATTAAAAAATATATGATATTATTATTCTTAAATTTTAAAATAAATCTTATTTTAACACAAATAAAAAATTAAAAGTGATATATACAGTAATAATTAAATTAAAGAGAAAACAAATGATCATCAATTTTTTTACGGTCATCATAATAATTATCAAGATAATTTGATTTTTACGTGTCCAAATTTATTTCATAGTTAAATAAATATAAATAACATGATATTTATCTTTTTATTTTACAGATTCATATTTTCATGAATTCAATTTATTATACATTATTATTGGTTCTATATATATATATATATATATA